CTATTGTCATATGTGTTAATTTATTGAAGTCACTTGGCAAAACGACTTCAGATATTCAGAATTTTGGATCTGCAAAGACTTGTTTCCTACTACATGTCCCAATTTGATTCGAAATTCTATTTTTAGAAACTGCCACCTAGTAAGCTTCAGAAGACCACTTAGTTATTTTATTTGATTTATTACTATTTTACTTGATAATTACTTTTCACGGTTTATCAAAGATCAACCTGATACCAACAACTTGCCTATGAATTGACACACATTTTCCCCATAAAGGATGGGTTCACTCAATAAGACTACCCTTAGGCCATCGTCCAATCAATTCGGCCAGCCTCTGAACGAGCCTATCGATGATCTAGTAGGTGATTGAAGTGAATCCACATGCAATCCTTCAAATTCTATTGAATCGTTTAACATCCCTAGTTACCAGAGTCAATAGGATTAGTATATGCAACACTATTGAAGATCCCATAATACTGTTAGTAGGGAAGAGAATAACCATGATTCCGATGGCTCTTCTTTTGATAGTGACTTAACTCTAACTAGAAGACCTAACGGAAACATCCCCATTGTACGTCATTTACATCGAAGGCTTTCCTCCATTCGAAGTTACTTACCATTTTGGCAGGGCCCGAGCAAATGAGGGCCTGGTTCGAATGCCTAACATCATACCTTACAAGGAGTAGCATGGAAAGAACATCTTTTTTGCTATTTGGTGCTGACATGCATTTAAGGTGTGTAGTCTTTAGTTTTGTCTTGCACATCTTTATAAAATAGGTTTATCTCATTCAAATGTACTTGTTTTGCAAATCCAATCTTTCCAACATTGCGTGCTCATATTGTTTTGGAATTTAAAAAATGGGTAAATATATAATACTTCCTTGTATTTTACTAAAAACGCATAAAACACCTCGTGTTTTATTTATTGTATGAAACTCTTTTGTGTTAATGTAAAGTTTGTATGAAACACTTTTTTAGTCTTAAACTGATATTTGATTGTAAATATTAACCCAATAATGCAAGTTTTATACAAATAAAAGAGATAAAATATCTTAAATATTTTTTTGTTATAAAATAAATAAATAAATAATTGATTAATCATTTATTTTATAATTTTTTGGAAACAAATTATTATTTGATTTTTACAAAAACAACAAAAAAAATAAATGATTGAGCAATTATTTATTTATGTATTTTATTCAAAAAATATTTAAGATATTTTACGTCTTTTATTTGTATAAAACTTGCATAATTTATGTTTTTCTTTACAAATCAAACATCAGTTTTGGACAAAGATGATGTTTTGTGCAAACTTTAAATTAACACAAGAAAGTTTGACGCAATAAATAAAAGATATGATATTTTGTACATGTTTACGAGGAAATTTTATATAATTTACCCTTAAAAAGTTAATGCATTATGTTTCCTGATAGGGATCCTGAGCATCACCCTTAGCTGATGTGGCTGATATATATTACCGAACTTTTGATTGTTGGCATCACTTTGGACCAAGCAAAGATTGAGGAAAAAGCAGCCGAATCATCCATTAAATCTAATTTATCTTCTTCTGGGAACATATTGCTTTTCTGAACAATTGGATGGTCTATCTCTTTGGCAAGAACCGACTTGATCATATTGCTAAGACCTTCGAGGTACTAGCGTGGGCCATCATGAAATCAAACAGACATCTAATGTTCGATGAGGTGTTTTTATATCACGTTTATTCATTTATTAAAAACTTTATCAAGATAATAGACTAAAGGAATTTAGTGGCCATGCATGATCCCTTCAGATGTGGCGTGCAAAATATTTTGTCCAATTAGAGTAACCCCTTATTACCACATCGTGAGTGCAATGATATCTTCCAATGATATCTTCATTTCTTACATCTCTTTTGTTCTGAAAGAATTTTTCACCCTCACAATCCCCTTTTTTCTCGATAAGAATATTCGTGTATGAATTTTGTTAGCTGATTTGACCTTTAGGCTCAAGAGGTAAGAAAATTCTAGATAGGCCGATGATCTCAAGGATTAGCGACAAAAGATAAAAGACGAACTACGTACCGAAGGATTAGGAAAAAATTCAGGAGCTCAAGACAAAAAATAATTCGAACAAGGAAAAGATTTAGTCCATACAAAGGGTTGAAGAGGAACTAGCCGAGACCATGCATGGCTGTAGACCTTGTTGTTCAAATGAAGAGGTCATTCAACGCATGTAAGTAAAAAAAGTTCAAAGACATATGGAAGAATTTAGGGTGTGTTTGTTTGGGAGTTTGAATTTTGAGTTGGAATTTGAATAGTAAAAATTTTGAATTTGAATAGTTGTGTGATGTGATATAAATAGGTGTTGATGTGATATTTTAAATGTAAAATTAATTTTTAGTATAATATAGAAAATAAAAAATAGATGTTTAATTTGATATTTTTGGGGGAAAAAATTGGATGAATAGTGTAAATCCAATCCAATTCCCCAAACAAACACACCCATGTCAACAACTATTTTTTACAGTAGTTTTCCTTAGCCATGTCTTGGCTAAAATTCTTTGAATTCATATTCTATGAGATTTTCATATGTTTTATATTTATTTATTTCTTTATATCATTATTACTATTGTTGTTATTATTATTATTTTATTTTATTTCATTTCATTTTTTGTGGTATGGTATCGCTTATGTTTGAGCCATGGCATGCAACGTTTCACTTTCACCTAACATGTTCTAGTGTCGATCTTGATTTGGGTATAACTTAGGGTGTGTTTCTTTAGAGGGATTTTGGGAAATTTGGGTTTGAATTTGGTTTTTATTTTAATTTTGAGTTGAGTTCGAATTTGGATGGTTTTCTTGTATTTAGGTTTGGTTGGGGTTTGGGGAGTTTTAATATGATTGATTTGATGAGTAATAAATATAATAATATAAATGTGTATTAATTTGTATAATTTAATTATAAATTTATATTATATCTATATATATTTCTAAATTTTTATTTATCTGTATTATAAAATATTTTATTCTCTATATATTTTATTAAATTATACATATTATAAAAATTTATATTTATATTTATAATTTAACTACATAAATAAATAATCAATAAAACATGTCAGCTCCGTGCAATTGTTGGTCGGGGCAGATAAAAAGGCCCAGTTTGGCGCTAAATCCGGCCCAACAGTGGCCATACAGTAGTTTTGGCCAAAACTACACTGAAAAACGCACCTTAGTGTCTGATGTCAAAGTCCAAATCGGATATCGATATTAAGATTTCCTCATGGCCTTAGAATTTGGATTCAACACCAAAATTCAAATTCAACGGCCTTCCCTAAAATTTGTATCATCATCGACATCATTTGTTATTGGATGACCATTGGCGATGAATTTAAATTTGACGTTGGACCTTGTCTTGATTAATATTGAATGGCAGTCATTTTATTATGAACGGCTGGCCGGAGAATGTCGGTCAATTGAGGTGACATTTCGTGCATAAAATCCCGAGGGCTAGGTTGCAACGTTTATCAGATCTCTTGATGAATGAATGCTATTGCCAAATAACACTACTCCTTGTCCATGAATTTTTGCCCCTTGGTGTAGGCTATATTGGATGGATAGCACTCGCAGGGTCTCCCACAATTAATCGCCATATTTTTTTTATTCAACTCATGAACAACTTTTTTTCGATTGTAGTCACATACAATGTTGGTTCTACTGGGCGTGCCAATTATATTGATTTGAAAATATAATTTTCGACCTTGAAATTCTCATTCATAAGAGACGGTGGGTTCCCGTGCCACTTGACGAGTTCACAGTAGTGTACAATTGTTTTTCAAAAAAATAACAATAATGAAAATCGATTGAAAAAAATACTGACACAATGATAAATTATATTGAATTGAGATCGAATGTCTATTACATGGAATTTTATCTTCTAATTTGCAATAATAATAATAATAATAATAATAATAATAATAATAATAATAATAATAATAATAAATAAATAAATAAATAAATAAATAAATAACATTATCAAACTAAAAGAAAGAAATGTAGCAACATTAATTACCTCTCTCAAATATTCAGCATCTTCTTTAATTGCACTTCTACTATCATCAATAAATAATTATCACTTATCTCATTAATTAATCCACTTCTTAATAGCTAATGACCGTAGGTACTCAACACTATTATGGTATTGTCCGCTTTGGAATGAACCTGCACATATTTATTTTTGGATTTACTCCAAATGCCTCGTATTAGTAGAGTTGATTTAGGACTTATAAGATGTTGAATTTTCTTCACAACTTGAGACTTGAGTTTGCACCCCAATAGAGTGAAGCCTAGATCCTTTTCTTAACACGGAATCAGAGTTGAGGGTAGCCGTATTGGGTATTGATCTTGATTAAGAGATTTTGAAAAGAAAATGTTAAATATTTATTCCACATTAGATTAGTTTTAGGATGGAGCCTTGGAATTTTATTTTATTTTATTTGTAACACATTTTTTTTTTTTAGATTACAAACAACAACAATAAAAATAATAGTAATCCAAAATTAATCTTGCATCATGTAATTCAAGATCCAATACTGTCCCAATCTATATTCTTTGAACCCAGGATAGATTAATTTTCTCCAGTACTACTCCAAAAACGCAATTTATTCAATTCACTCGTAGATATATATATCTGGAGATGGATCAAAATGGATCAGTAGTCAATCCATATGTATGTATGTATCTCATGAAATGCTCAATCGATCTCTTATTCCATTTCTTAGCTGGGAAAACGTATGTTCTCTCTAGCTACAAAAACAGATATATAAGACAAAAATAAATCCATTGAAACCAACTTTAATTTAGAAACTATATATCAAACCTAATAAGTCCTATGGATATATATATATATATATATGATCAAACTAGTTCTTCAATTCATATAAGCTAAGTGTCATCTGCTAAGCTAAGCTAATTAATTAATTAAGGTGCATATATCGATCATCGTCGTCTAATTATATATTAGGCATTGCTGTTGTTGTTGTTATCCTCGGCTTCTTTGATGAGCCTGACAATCTCATCCTTTTTCTCTACAAGAGTTGCGATTTTAGCCTCCATCTTCTCCAACTTGGCCTTGAGCTTGTCGACATCATTATACTTGTCTTTAATCTGTTGTTTCTTCTCCTCCTTGGATTTCTTCTTCTCCCCATCTGCTCCTCCTTCTTTGTTCTTCTTCTTCTTCTTGTCTTTCTTTTCCGCGCCTTTCTCTTCGCCTCCGGAGACGTAACCCTCCTCAGCCTTCGACTCAATCTTCTCTTCATTATCTCCCATTGTGATAGTATTAGTTATATGTATATCTGCATTGCATTTCCCGGTTGTGAATATCCCTATAGAAATTTATTAAGGGTGTGTTTGTTTGGGGGTTTGGATTTTGAGTCGGGATTTGAATAGTAAAAATTCTGAATTTGAATATGTGATATAAATAGGTGTTGATGTAATATTTTGAATGTAAAATTGATTTTTAGTATAATATAAAAAATGAAAAATTAGATGTTTGATTTGATATTTTTGAGGAAAAAAATTGGATGAACAGTGTAAATCCAATCCAATCCCCAAACAAACACACGGTTCACCATCCACATGAAATATATATATATATAGCTAGTTTGTATGTGCACACACATGAGAAATAATATCCAAAGAACAATGGGAAAAACACAGGCTCAATAATGAATGTATACATAAAATGATAATGATAATGACAATTACAATTACAATTATCACAAAAACCTAACACAAAATTGCAACCAGAATAGAACTGTAGAAAGAAGAAATAGTTCTGCACAGAATGAAATTTGATCTTATATTTGGTAAATTAGATGATTGAAAAATATAATAGAAAAATGTGAGATAAACCGAAATAGAGGAATTGGTAAAAAATTAAACCTAATTCGAAGAGATTAGAAAATAAAAATATGCATATACATATAGCTATTTTCTTTCTTTACTATTAATTTTCTTTACAAATAAAATAGATTCTAAAAATGTATTGTACATACATACCAGAATATTGCAAAAAAAAATATCTCACATTTATACCCTATTATTACTTTTGTCATGTATTTATCAACCTAGCAAAATATATCCCACATGTTTACGAAAATCGTTATTTATGTCATTTGCCCGCACGTGAAATTCACACCATGCGCCCTTACGCGCAATCACGCGCGGCCAAATGATAGAAATAACGACTTTTGCAAACATGTAGGATATATTTTGCCGGACAAAAGTAATAATAGGGTATAAGTGTGGGATATTTTTTGCAATATTCCCACGTACATGCATGCGCAGCATCAAATCATATATATATATATATATTACGCACCTCTTGGAAAAAAGCACAAAATATTCAAATATTACTCCGCTTTAAATAGAAGAAAGTTTTTCTTCAATGTCAGTACGTAGATAAGAAGCACCATATATATATATATATATATATATATGAATCGACCTTATGCGGCCACATTAATTAATTCGTGGACTATATCCATGCGTCCGTACATTTTCCTCTGAAAATGCGCTCTCTCACTATTATTAATTTTTTTACATAATAATTAAATAGAGTTGTTATTGAGTCTCAAGGCTTTGGAAAAAAAAAAAATCTTAACTAGAAAATTAATTAGAAAAAAGTAATTTTAAAAATATTTATATTATTTATTTATTTTAATATATTTAATTAATAATATTAATATATTTATTTTATTGTTATACATTATTTATACTATTAATCCTATATATATATATATATATTTAGTTATGAAAAAGCCCCAAAGACCCTCAAAATCTACGACAGCAATGATAATAAAAAATAAAGGATATAAGGCTATGGAATCAATCACAAAATTCCAATGCAATCATTGAGACAAATGCTTATCAGATTAGTAATTGTAGAGATATATTTTTAACTTTCAATATATTGCTTAGATTATTTCATAATTATGTATAGAATAGTTTTCTTTCTTGCTTTGGAACACTCTGAAAATATTAGGTGAATAGTGTCCAGAAAACTCTATGGTCGTATTTGGTTTCGGTTTTTTTTTTTTTTTAATTTTATTATTTATCAATTTTTTTTCTGAAAAAAATATATCAAATTATTTTCTTATAATATACTAAAAATTAATTTGACATTATAAATACTACATTAATATATCACATAAAATAATTATTCAAATTTAAAATATTTACTATTCAACATTCATTTCCAACCAAACACGGGCCGCCCTGGACTCGGGCAAGAGAGGTGTCCACTCAGGGTCCAATATAAATGAAGGTTCCGTCAAGTATTTATGTTATATACGGTTACTTATTTGATTTATTTGAAACTAAAAAAAATAGTTTTGTGTTGTGAGGTTATTTTGTAATTGTGAGGTCATGGGTTTTAATTAATAAGGTTATAAAATTTTGAAATTTTTTTTAATACTGGTTTTCAACACCTTAAATTTCAATTCTGAACTCCAACAAACAATACAACAAAATTGAATACAAACACTGAAAGTTTGTTGTGTTCAAGTGATGTCTATTTATGATTTAAATGACGAACAAACCACATAAAGGACTATGCATAGTGAAAATAAATAAGGAATACACCAATACACATTAATTTATTTCGGCTCTCAACCCGTCTATGTATACAGGATACCAACCTAAGAAAGTTCAACTATGAGTTAGGTATAAACAAGATGCAAAACTTCTTAGACAAACTTCACAAACCTACAACCACACACACAATCTAATGTTTGGATTTCTCTGCCATATATAAATGCATCTTCCTTCGTCAAAGAAAGCATGCACAGGCTCGGCCTTCAGTGGATGTCTTCTGAGATGGGACGAGGGTGTAGCCCGTTTGACACATTTTCTTTCTTCTACTCTCCCTAGAACGCTTTTGCTCCGAACAAATATTCAGTTGTTTGTCGACACAGTAGGAATTAGAAACTCCTTCAAGATATCATTTTTTGCCTTGAATCTCTAGCAATTTTGACCAAGTTCAAACCCAATACAATTGATAAAATCCTTCCAGGTTTTCCTACTCAATGCATTATCTGACCTCACTACGAAAATCTCTCAAAATAATAGAGCACACTCTCCCTCAACAAGAAGAACGACTCAATCTATTACACCATGAAATTTTAGTTTTTCTCAAGAAAAATAAAAGTGAGATGAAATTTCCAAATTCTCAAATCACACCTACAAAATTTCTCTCTTATTTTCTCTCAATGAATTCGAAAAATCCTAGAGCACATGTATACGTAGAATACGCATGTCTCATTTCATCCAATGAAAAATGAAAAACCAAAGAATCCATATAGTCAAACATGTTTTGAACATACACTACAAAAGAAATCCAATTTTATGACGGAAGTTTGCGAAGGATTACAAATCCTTTGCCAATACGGATATTTGCAATCGATTTTTGCAAAAAATAAATTCCTTATGAAAGTGTCCAATATAAAAAGGGACAATAAACTATTGTAAAGTTAGCAAGGTATCATATCCCTCACCAATAATCTCAAATATATTTTTTACAATAAACTTATAATTTTCTAAAATTATTATTATTATTTTAATCTCAATTTTAAGGTAATTGCGTCCATGGCGAAATTTACTTTAAAACCCTTGTCCACACATAAACAGATACTCGCCACACACATAAAGAATGACAAAGACACACTTATACTCATACTATGACGAAGACGGCAGCGACAACAAAGAGCTTTCGACGGCGAGTTTTCAGTGGCGATGACGGCACGCATTCGGCGGCTGCTATGGGAATCTATTTTTAACAGTACGGATTTGAGGTGAGAAATGATATTTTTAAGGCAATTTTTTTCCTTTTGTTTTCGTTTATTTGTAGATTGATCTTCAATCGTGATTTTTTGAATTAAATTCCAAATGTCTTGGTATAATCTTATTCAACAAATTTGCTAATTTACGGATTTGATTTTATTACTTTATTGATGATGGAAGAACAAAAAGAAGTAGAAGATTTGCAGAATGCCGCAAATGAAGCTGGAGGAATTGAAGACTCAGGGAAGATTACCAACATGATTGAGGAAGAATACCATCAGGAGATCCTTTCACTCGACGATGTATGCCCAATATGTTTCAACAGATTCACCCTCCTTACAAATCGAATAATGGCCACTGATTTTCCGGTGAGCCTTTAATTCTTGTTGAGTTTTGAGGCTTGTAAAATCATTTATGACGATTTTTTTGTCACTTTTTTGTAAAAAAATTGTTGTGGATCACCTTTTAGTGTTTGCTTATCCTTTTTTTTGCTACCCTAATTTATATGTCTTTATTATTAGATCAACAAATTGATAAATAAAATGAGATTTTTTTTTCATTTCCACATACTTAATACATATGCCTTTAGTTGATTCATTTTTGGCAGGAAAGAAGCATTTTCTTAGCTGTGAATATGTCGGATCAAGATGTGATATAGGGGCAGCCTCATAGTGTGTATTATTGAGTGATTGAGATAAAGAATGTTCTTGAGAATTAGTAGTTACTGATGATCGAATTAGGAGCTTCACAACTTCCCGTGTTTCTCATATTGATTGTGTTACGCTATTTGCATTGTTATTTCTAGCAATTAAGTTGAGTTACTCTTTAATTTGTTGAAGAGATGATTTAATCTTTTGATTTATTTATTTATTTATTTGTAGTTTCAACCTTAAATCTTCTCAATACCAAAGATTTAATCTATGAACAGACCAAACTACCAATAAACTATGCTAAACACAAGCAATCACAATCCTGCAGTCAAAACCAATAAATTTTGGTAAAAATTACACAACGTCAAACAATCCATGGTTAAACCTAGTACTGTAAGCTCAAACCAACAAGACCTGTACTCATTTTATGCCTTTGAATATCACTCACAAACTTGGTGCAGCTTAGTTTTGTCCTTTGTTGAATCTTCACCTTTTCTTTTACATATTTATCATTCTCTTATAATTGACGTTTTAGGTCTAGTCTTCTTCTTCTTTTTTTTTTCCTTTTTTCTTGGTTGTTTATATTCAAATGGTTGTCAGGATATTAAATTTCTTTTGCTCACAGATTTTTGGCATGAGATATTTTGGTTGTATAGTGTGGTCTTAAATGTGGATTCAAATCTACTATTAGGATGTCTATGAAGATCTATTTGAGGAAATTAGCAAGTATGGAGATATTGATAATTTTGAATGTTTGTGACAATCTAGCTAATGACATGGCAAGCATTCTTATTCTTTGAACTGTAAACAAACCATACTTTTTGTGTAGTTCTACTTGAATTCTTATTTAATATTAATTTTTTTTAGTTCGACCGTGAATACATTGCAAGTTTATCATGAGAAAGTATCATTTGATGCTATTTTGGGTCAAACCACAACATTAATTTAATATGTGATCTAAGCCACTCAATAACCAAAATAGATTGATCATATTCTTTATGTTGTTGCCAAAGATTTTATTTTTTTAGGATTATTTGAGTAGGATGATCGTGTTTTGCAATAACTATTGTTAGCCTTTAGTCTTTTTAACAAGCTAACCTATTTTCTTAATGCATTTGCAAGACCCCTATAAGATATGGATTCCATTGACTCACTGTTTTGGAGACAATTGAAAATGCAGATTTTGACTCGAAAGTACAACCAATGAAAATTTTGTGATCCGTGCATACAATACAAGGAATTAAAGAAAAACATCCAGCTTAGAAAAGCAAACTCTGTTACATTCAAATTTCAAAATTACAAGAAAAAATATGCTTCCACCATCATCCAAAGCCTACAAATATCACTCCACTTCATTTCAAATATCACCTACAAATTTTCATATTATCACTATCCTACGTCTTATTAGGAATTCTATATATTTTCCCAAGAAAAATTATGCTTAGAAAATTTAGATAAGTTCTTTAGATCACTTAAAATCTTGCAATTCCGACCATGTATCATTCGTGTTTGTTAATGATATTAAACAATTCTTGAATGATCTTCTTGAAAGTTTGTGATCTTTCATACTTGAATCAATTAAAGTGCATAGAACATATCGCTCTACTTATACTCGTATTTTGGTACCAGTAGCATACACAAACAAGAATTTGGATATACAAGATCAAAAAATGACAGAATTTTTGGAGAAAAATTAGGAGTGAGCATTTGGATTTTGTCAAATCCAAATCAATCCAAAATTTCAATTTATTTTTTAAAAAAAAAAATTAATCCAAACATAACCAAAATATATTGAATACAAATTCCGAATTATAAACTGAATGAAACAAAAAAAAATCCAAATTTACATAATATACTTAACAATTCATTATTTTGATAATTTTATTTATTTTTATTAACATATTAAATATATAACATAATAAGTGTATTAATAAATAATTATGAATTTAAAGTTTTATTAAATTATTAAATATATATAATAAAATATATCAATATATGATATTTTAGATTTAAATTTGGCTCAAATTTTTATTATGTCAATCCAAATCGATCCAAAAATTCAAAATTCAAAAGAAATTTAATCCAAATCAATTCCAAAATTCAAAAAATTCAAACCAAATTTTAAATTTTCATTTGGTTCAGATTAGATGTTCAGATTTTAGATATATTTCTCACCCAAAAGTAATTTGATTTTAAAGATGGAGATGTACTCAATTTCATAGATAAAGTTTAAGTACATTTAACGATAAAGTTATGGCCACGGTAAGGCAAGAGATAACAAAGGGAAAAGCTTAAAAGAGGGCCAAAAATCCACATAGAAGTATGTGATCAGTCATTTATAAATTTTAAGGCTCTTACACTATACGAGTTGTACAAGGCTAAGGTCCACAGATTGGAAAAAAGTTTTTGACACATCGTTATTCTTCTCAGATGATGTTATTAACTGGACACCCAATAGACTTCACCAACACACAGTCATAGCGCAAGAATATTAATTAGACTTACAGGCAAAAAAAAATATTTCTTCAATTTTTGTTAGAGTCTAGTGAATCAACGCCAAAAAATTGCTAGATTTTTAGCTATGGCTACAAACCGACCTGCCTGAGTAAAGGTGCAAGACAATCTCATGAGGATGGGTCCCAAATTTTACCGATGATCACATCCTAAAATTCTTCAAGTTGTTCAAGAGCCAATAATTCAATATAAGTAGTTCGTCTGAATTAGTATTAAAGAATAATGCATAGATTTGGTCAAATGATCCTGTGCGAGAATTTTGTTTTACCACGATCAAGAGGTAATACTAATTTGTTATCATAGAGATTTTATGAGATTTTTGGGTCAACGTTTCCAGGATCATCAACTTCAGCATCTCTATTCGTGATGAAAATTTTAGTAACACGATGACAAAGATTTTTTGAATTGTAAATAAATCAAGCTCTTAACATATACATTTTCCTTCAATGCTGCCTCTCAGTAGAAATTAGCGACACACGATGGGTTTCAAATATGTAAAGACACAAGGCCCTAGTCAAAAACTCTGGCACCAAGACAGCGGTGAAAAAAAAAAAAAAAAAAAAAAAAAGGCAGTTGAAATCCCAAGAGCCACTCAACCATCCCCGAGCATGAATCAAGCCCTTTAATTTCTCTCTCTGGCTAAGAGCTTCACTACCATCGCAAATAAGGACTGTATTTAAATCTTCCTCAAAAAGCAAAAAAAAAAAAAAAAAATGTCAAAGAGAGAGACATCTTACTCAATGAGAATGTACAAGTGCTGCTAAGAAGATCACAACAAGGTATTTCTATTTGAGATCCAACAGAGGAAACCCAATCTCATAAGCATGATAATATGATGTATTTATAGTTACTTTCAAAAGGAACCATTAATAAACTTAGTGGCGGATGAGCTAACTATTGTTGTGGCAGTCAAGATATGGTTATTGATGATATGGATGTCACGGTGATACCATAATTTATAATTGATCTCACAGCGTTGCAGAAAAATTTAAGAACACAATCATCATTTACACCACTAGAAGATTTAAATAAAGGTAAATGGTGGCAGAAATAGCATAAAAATCGATGTCATTGAACCATAAATGGAAGTCTAAGCCAGGGGAAAAATAAATGCCATCACAATACAAAAAATAGAAGTTGAAAGATTGAGAAATGAAGTTGAAGAAAGAGCCACTGCACCAAAAAAAAAAAAAAAAAAAAAAAAATGTCATTCACCATAAGTTGAGATTTGTAACAATTGCATTATAACAAATGGCTATTTTCATTATAATAAAATCTATGACAAAAGAATTTTTTTCCGGTCAACAATTTAGGTTCAGTAGTTATGCAAAATTTTTCGGAACAATTACAAAGACGGAAAACTTTGGTCAAAATAACATTAGTTATGGCATTTTTTTCTAACTAATGCCATTAAAAAAAAAATAAATAAATTTGAATTTAAATTGAATATTTAAAAATTTAAAAATGATCGCAATTAATCATCTATCATTTTGGTCGAACGGAGACACCTATATAAAGGGTCACACTCCTTCATTCTAAAATACACCAACAACATCCTCTTCTTCTCTTCTCATCTCTTCTAGTTTTTCGTTAACCTCTTCAGTTCAGTTTCTCCTTCGTCTTTGTTCGCCAAAGCTCCGATGATTTAAAGTCTCACCCTCATCGGAGATAAAAATCATTTTATCTTTGGATTAGAACGTCGGCCACCGGAAACACTACCGAGGTATATCTAATTTTCGGAGATAAGATTTATCCTCGATTCGGTTTCACAGTATTTTTATTCTCGCAATATTTCTTTAAACTAACATCGTAATATCAAATCTATAACATGAAGCATGAATTTTAATAGGAAAGCAAGTTGTAGTTGTACCAGAAAGCAAAGCAAAAAAAAAACAAGCAAACAAACAAACAAAACAAACAAAGGTTGATTTATATGTTAAAAGCAAAATAGGGGTTTAACACTTTCTCATTACATTCCATTTGAATAATGCATTCCACTTGTTATTTTATTTTGCAAATGTCATCTTCTGCTATCTAGAAGCTCAAGCTATAACGGTTCCAAATAATTTATTTGGTTGGTTGGCACCACTCGTGATATGAATCACATGGCTAGCTTTCAAAATCGCGTTTGTAATAGATTTACTACTTTCTAGATGTATTTTCAATTTTATGTTTTTAGTAATTAATTAAATATCATTATTCTTCAATTTTTGATTACCTATGGTTGATATTTACATAAAATGACTATTTCACATAATGCATAGAGCAAATATATATATTAACTAATTGAATCTTACGAGAGAGTACGAAAATAGTTGTATTGCTAGGTAAACTAAAAGGTGATCACAAAAGTGACCCTTAGCACTTAATTCAGCTTATAATATATAGTAAAAAGATAGGGCATATGCTAACCATTTGGTTTATCAGTTGCAGTAACGAATAGAATAATTTGTTGAATACCGAATAATATTCACAGAATTGAATATTAGCTCAATAACTAGATATTGATATGTCATCCAGTATAGATTTTAGGCTAAAAACACTCGTACTAATCAAAAGGTAGTTCTCAATGTGGAAATCTTGTGTGATTGCTTTCACATAATGTTTCATATATGAAATTATATATTGGGATCATTTTTCTATTTCAATTTTTCTTTTCTTTTTTTTATACCTTGGTAGAACTATATCCCCACTAATTGCCATTTTCACCTCATTCCTAAATTGGGAACATCCCTTTGGCAACATTGTCACTTCATATAACCTTAATTTCTATGGGTAATTCATCCATGACTCATTCTATTTTATTGTTATTGAAATTTTTTCTATGATGATGAATGTTGTTTTGATCTATCTTCGAGAAGGGAAGTATAAGGTGCGTGCTCGAAGATGTCGATGCAGTGTAGAAAAAAATATAAAATGATGGAATAAAACTAGAGAGTGAGAAAAATACAAAAGAGAAAATGGAGAATGGTAGTTTAACTTACTATGACTAAGTAGAAGATATCTCTGAAAAGTCATTTTCGTCCTTAATTTTAATTTGAAAGATTAAATGATTAAATTAGGACTTTATTAGTTAAATTTAAAAAATTCCTATACAAAATCAATCAAAATGCATAATTCAAAATTTTTTGAATTTGAAAATAGTAACTATAAAATTTAAGTTGCACTTCTTTCGCTAAATTGAACAAGACACAAAGTGTATTTCTATGAGTTTGGTTAGAGAAAATTTGATTTAGATTTTGTGTTAAATAATATTTGAAGAGATATTTTTCAAATAACGTAAAATTTGAAAAATAAAAATTGAGCATAAACAAACACAATTCATATATATTAATTAATCTTTGTCTTCACTAGTACATAGAGATTCAATATACTCCAGATTTTTTAAAAACACCATCTTCATACACAAAATCCTCTGGACATGCTCGAATTTTCACCTAATCTCGGGTGTCACCTTGTTTTATCTTTATACAAATTTTGTAAAACCCAATGTTTTAATAGAGTCCAAACATAGTATACCTGTAATATTCACCGATGGGTTCTTGTCTTAAGCTAAAAAGATGTATTTGAAGAAAGCAAAAACAAATTCTATTGAGGTTCTGTTCCAGCTGTAGCAAAATCAAACTTGGTTCACTGTCTACTGAAGGAAATCAGTCTACTACCAAAATCTGCACTAAAATCCTTAGTATTTTAAAAAACATTGCACAAAAATCTTTTTTAGGGGTTTTTGTGAATATTTTTTAAAACACGAATAAGTCTCGTACAATTTTTAGAGGAATATTTTCTAAAATACCATGTACTCTCATGGTGGAGGCAGAATGATGCAGACTATAAGCAAGTTATAAACAATTTCGCCAATAAAATTGTGAAAATAAGAAGAAAAATTTTAATCAGGAGAGTAAATACATACATACATAATTCATTCTACAATCTACTAGGACACGAAAAAACCTGGCTGGTTGTTACCTGTTAATTCTGGAAGAGCTTCGTCGAATCCATAGCTCATAAATGACCAAGTAAAAGGCATCATAATCGACCGGCAAGAGATGCCACTGAAAGTGTTTTCTCACCTTCACCACATTCTTTTGCAACTCTGTGTATTCGCTGTCGCTTACGCTTCTGAGGATCTTCTTCAGGAGAGGGATATCCAACGTTGCAACAACAATGGAAAAACTCTTCCAGTTCAATATATCCTGAAAAGGAAGATCATAGTGGTTTGCGATTATTACAGGAACACATCCATAGTACAGCGCATCGCCAATGCGAGCTGTGTTGACCTCAAATCCTTTGACATGGAGACAGAACTTGCTGCTTAGAAGCTCCTCCGCATAGGACGTCGAGAGGTACCCCAAGTGGACTGTTATGTCCGAATCATTTTGCCATGTCTGGAGAAGCTTTTGGCGTACAGGTGAGTTAATTGATCCAGCAAAAAAGGCCAGCTTCGATCTGAGTTTCCAAGGAAAGTCATGATAACATTCAGTATATGTCAATGGGAAAGAATCGAGAAGGAAAAACATTATTGCAAATCAACCAGCTCAGTATTGACTTAAACAACTAATCTATCAATTCAGTTTTTAGTTTAACAGCAGTCGTACATTCCAAGTCAACTTATCACTGCTTACTTACTAATAAAATAAGGGTAAAATTGTCCATAACTTCCCTATAGTTTCGAAATTCAGCATAAAATTTTCTTATATATTAAAAATTACATGACACCCCACTATACTTTAAAAAATATTGCATGAAACTCCACCGCCATGAAACCTCCCTTGTATGATGAGAATATGATTTTCTATTTATATTTTTTGCATGGCAGGGGTTTTATACAATATTTTTTAAAATAAAAGGATGTTATACAATTTTTAAAGTAAGGTGGGGATTTATGCTGCATTTTGAAATCACATAGGGGTTTCATGCAACGATTTTTAAAGTATAAATGAACGCCATGCAATTTTTAAAGTATAGGGGGAATTTACGCTGAATTTTGGAATCACGAGAGAGTTATGAACAATTTTACCTAAAATAAGTAATGGATAAACAGCTGCAATGAATGGAATAATATTGAAAGGGTTTCCCACACCTTTCACGATCAAGATTGGGAGGGTTGCCTTGTCTGGGCCAAATTTGGGGTAAGGATGCATCTTTGTGAGCCGTGTAGAAAGACAGATAATAGCTCGATGTGCATACAATTTGGATGGCATTATTTTTCACCTGAACAGCTTTCTCCATGGCAGTGCGGCCAATTGAATGGCAGGCAACATAAAAATGATCAGCACCTCCACTACGATTCCAGTAAGGATAGTCACGACTGATGTTGAAAATATAATTTCCAATGAAGTCCTGGATGCCATCAATACCCACTCGTGGATCATGTCGCAACCTTGCAATTGAAAAGGGCAAAAAGAATAGATCTGCCGTGGAAGGGTCTTCTGTAATAAAATGACTACTGTATAGATTCTTCTTGAAGTAGCTTTCACTGGCGTAATTACCACCGGGTTCAAAATCCACAGGCAAGAGCACATTCGCAAATGGATCATCTCGGCTATGTGGGTAAACAAAAACCTTTAGGCTTCTATTCATTTCCTTGTAGTTTTCTAGGAAGACATCTCTATCGTGGAACAGCTCTTTGTCAACACTGTGTATCCCTGAAACTATAGCCAACTGTTTAAGAGTCTAAATGAGTGCTTGTTTTAAAGAATGATAATAATAACAATAATATACTAAAATAAAATAAAATTGACGCCGCTAGAAATTCAGTTTCTACAGATTTGCCTAAATGCTTCTGAGGTCCAAAGCAAAAAACATTCGAAATTCTAATACAGATTCGGAAAGAAGAAAGGAATTAACTTTATCAAGTTCTTCATCTCGCAACAAGCTTATGTAGTGTATCTATCGATTTGCACATTTATCAACTATAATAGTACCAACAACTCTGCAAATTCTAGCCTCAGAAATTTAACTCTATGCTTAAAGATTCGATTTAACCTCAATGAAATGAAATAACAGCTCCTTCGCAGTCCATAACATCAGAAATTCCTTGAATTCGAAATTTGAGGAACAAATTGAATGAAACAGTACAATCTAAAAAGCTGGCTTAGCAATGTCAGAAGAATTGACTTCGAAAATCTTTCTCCAATCGGCGATAAATTAGGCTTGCATCTGCCCGCAACTGATCATACTGCAAAAAACTTGCACTAAACGTAGCCAACGAATGACATTCCAAAATTTCGGCTTGTCATTCACAAGAATTAAAATTGTGCAGGCGTCGGATAGTCTATTTACTCATGGTTATGGGCCAAACTCACAGAATTCCAGAACTGCTAAATTAAAATTAAGCGAATTCCATAAACGCAAAGAAGGGAAACATAAACTAAGAAACGCTGCATACCATGATGAGAATCCATATTTGATATAGAAATTCCTGGATCCTCAGAAACTATATCCCTATCGGTGAAACGAGGAATTTTCCTGAAACCAGGTAATTTTGGCGAGGAACGGGACGAAACCCGTGCGCGCTCCTCGCGATTGATCGAAGCAGCAGCGGTGTTCGCGAGGTTGTGCGGATAAACGAAGAAGAGATTAGAGGTGGAGGAGATGTAGAGTAGAATGAGGAGAGAGGTTGTGAGAGCCAAAGTCGTGGGAAGGAAAAAGAACCATGACTTGAGCGTGGGGGAGTGGTGGCTTGGATCACGGCGGCGCGTGAGGAGAGCGTGCAGTAAATGGAATGAAGAAGCAGCCATTGTGTGACTCATGAACAGTGAAGATGGCGGCGGCGACGGCGGAGGAGGAGGAGGAGGAGGGCGGAGGCGGCGATCACACGCTCAGTCGCTCACGCGAGTCTGGGGGGCAGAGAACATAGAAGAACTCAAAATTTGGCAGAAAGAAATAAATGGGGAATAGGACGGGCAAGGGGTAGGATTATAATTTTCAGCAGTGTCATGTCCCAATTTAAGGTATGTTTTTTTGATAAATTTTTTAAAATTTTACTATTTTGAGTCAACGTTTCTTTTCGTAAAACATCTCATCAAATATTATAAACAACTGTTTGAAAGTTTTTACTCCTCCGTCCTATATCCATATGCTTTTTATTTGGATGGTACTGTATAATTTGTCTATCTATAATTATATTTTAAATTTTCTAATTTATAATTTTTTAATTTTAATGAAATTATTTAATTATTTTTATTATATATTAATTATTTTTATTAATTATATTATACTTAAATTTTAACTTTACATAAAGTTGGAACTTAAGAAATATCTTTTAGAGGACTGCAGACTCTGTATTGATCCGGCCAAATCAGTGTGATTGTTGATTTGAAGCATATATTTTATTATTGATTACCATATATATATATATATATTTCTCATTTTGTAAAATAGCATATGTTGTGTTATAATATAATATATTATATATATTAAAAAATTATATAAATCTATGTTGGTTACCCCATAGCATATATATTGATCTGGCCAAATGAGTACCATAGCAGTTGACCAATTAAAAAAATTAATTTAGATATTTAATAAATTAATTTTTTAAAACAGCTTATTGAATAAAAAAAAAACATATTTGAATATTTATGGGTGGTTTCTTTTTTTCAAAATAAATCAACACATTTTTCTAAGAAAATTAATATATTACACATATTCATTATTTTTATATTACCTACCTAATTTTTTATACCGTAAAAAAAAATAGAGTAAATTATGAATTCAATAATATAAGTTTATAAGTTTTATATAAATAAAAGAGACAAAATATCTTAAATACTTTTTTTTTTAATAAAATTAATAAATAATTAATTAATCTTTTATTTTATAGTTTGTTGGAATCAAATTATTATATTTTTACAAAAATTATAAAAATTTATTTATTTTATTCAAAAAAATATTTAAAATATTTTACGTCTTTTATTTATATAAAAAAATTATTTAAAACAAAATATCAACTTTGGACAATTTGGTATTTTGTGCAAACTTTATATTAACATTTAAGTTTCAAGCAATAAATAAAACACATTAAGTTTTATGTATTTTTATTAAAATACAAAAAAGTGTTATATAGTTAACACAAAAAAAATATTATTTTAAATTATCTTACAAAATAAATACATATATCTCAGGCGTTTAGAATAATTATTTTATGTTCTAATCCTTAACCATTAATCATTCATTCGTATATATTATTATATTTTGATGCACTATTTATCGGTTATTTTAGTATATTCTTATCAATATTTATAAAAGAATAAAATAAAAAATAAAAAAATTTAGTATTTTAATGAAATTCTTATAATTTTCGATAAAATTCTAAAAAAAACATACAATAGAAGAATGCAACTAAATATATTAAAAATATAAATATAATATGTTTTAAATTATCATTTCACATATATAATTAACTAATATTAAATAGTTATTTATCAAATATTTTATCACAAGTAACTAATATGTTTAACTAGTTAAATAATTTAATCTAATCAACTAACAACTAACTAACAGTTAATCGAATCATCTTACACTATAAAAATAACAGCTAATTGTCATTGTTATAAAAGCTAATTTTTTTAAAATTAATATATTCTAATATTTTGAATTAACATTTTAATTAGAATTATTTTTTCTTATTTATCCTTACATCTTTTCTACTCTTTTGCACTATCCATTATTTTACTTCTACTGTGTTGTACTATTTTTTTTCTAAGTTAAAGTTGTTTTGAAAAAAGAAAAAAATTTATTTTGTTATTTAGTAATTATCTTAATATATTTTTTATTTTATTAAATTATAGTTTTGTATTTTTTTAATTTAAAATCATTAAAATTAATTTTTACATATAAATTATTTTATTTGTAAAAATATATAAATTTATTAAAAAATTATTATTTTATTTATATATATATATTTATCGCATAAATTTTATATTACAAACAAATAATATTTCTTCCGTCCATTTAATAAGTTTACATTTATCTTTTGCGTCATTGTACTTAACATTAAAAATATCATTATATTTGTATAATTTTTTATATTTAAGGGTGTGTTTGTTTGGGATTTTGGATTTTGAGTTGAGATTTGAATAGTAAAAATTTTGAATTTGAATAGTTGTATGATGTGATATAAATAGGTATTTATGTGATGTTTTGAATGTAAAATTGATTTTTAGTATAATATAAAAATGAAAAATAGGTGTTTGATTTGATGTTTTTTTTTGGGAAAAAATTGGATGAATAGTGTAAATCCAATCCAATCCTCCAAACGAACACACCCTAAATGTCATTCTATTAGTACAATAAGACACTAATAGAAGTATTTTTGTCTTTTTTTCCTTGATTTGTCACATCATCAATGTATACCTCTATAAAATTGCCGATAAGGTCATGAAAAAAAGCATTCATAGCCATTTGATAAATTGTTATCGCATTCATCAAACTAAATGACATAACAATTCATTCAAAGATACCCAAAGCCCTAGGACATTTGAAAGCCGTTTTGGGAATATTTCTTCAGCTAGAAAGATCTTATTATATCTAAAATATCTATCCATGATATTGAGAATCCAATGTCTGGCTGCCAAATCGATCAACATATCAGATATTGACATAACATACTTATCTTTAGGGGTTATCAAATTCAAATCTCTAAAATCAATACAAAATATAATCTTGTCATTCTTTTTGGTAACTGGTATGATATTCGCTAACCATTCGGCATATCGACACAACCGAATGAACCCTACCTTAAGCAATTTCTCTATTTTTTCTTTGATTTGAGGCATCAACTCGGGACTCACTCATCGTGAGAGTTATTTTTATGGCTTGAATCTAGCCTTGATAGGCAACCTATGCTCAATAAGATTTCTTTCTAGCCCTAGCATTTCCAAATAATCCATGCCAAAACAATCTATATTCTCCCGAATTAACGTAACTATTTCCTTTTGTCGCCCTGGATACAACAGACCACTCACCCGAATCACTTTTGGAACCTGTTCAATTCTTAGATTGTACTCGATTGGTGGATAGCCAAAGAACATGGTTTCATCTTTTCCAATAGTTCTTGCCATCGAAATTGTTCTTCACTACACACCTCTGTAGTACACCCTGGATTCTGTAACCTTTTAGTAACTGACTCAAGTACAACTTATAAATTAGACTATTGTAATAATTCATACTTGCATCAATCATAACAATGTGAGAATAAGAATAGTAGATCAGCTATCAGCCAGCCATGAAGTCCAAACTTTGTTCTTTTACAAGAATATATACTCTTCATTGGTGGGTTTACAACTTCGTCATGGGTAATCATTCACAAACGCAATCTGGAAGATTGGCGGAATATGTTCTGAATAGAGTATAGATTCCTCGATAGCTTCCGATGAACTAAAAGGGTTGACACTAGCTTCTTAATTTATGCATAGATTTATCACTAATGTTGTTGGAGAATAAAGATTTTGTTTATTTTCTTGCAAGAGAGTATGAAGAAGTTTGTATGGGATATATAGCAACAAAAGGTCCTTAATCAAATAAAAAAGACACTTGCATATCCCTCTATCTTCATGCATCCCATATATGGGAAAGAAATGAAGTTGTATACTATAGCCTTGATGAGACCATCGGGTGTTTGTTGGCACGTGATAATGTTAGGAACAAGAAAACTTTGTGTTTATTTAAGTAAAATATTGAATAAAACTGAAGTATAATATACTCCTATTGAAAAACTTTATTTATCCTTACATTATACTTATTTGATATTAAAATATTATCTTATGTATGTGGGAACCAAATTTTTGTAAAATCAATCTTTTATGACACTTACTAAATAGCCCTGTCCTTCAAGGCTTTTTAGTCAAGTAGGTTATGGAATTATTTTCGTTTGATTTAACCTATGAATCCTTAAAGGGCAAGAAAAAATATATTTTTGCAGACTTCTTGGCGAAGCACCCATAAATAGTTTAAGTCCCTAATATAACCTTAGAGTAAGTTGGTTTGGAGCCATATAGTGTTATGTTTTAAGATTTTAGTACTGAAAAAGAAATTGTAGTTAGAGTCATAGTAAAAGCTCAAGTGGGGAGCCTTGGCGGTTCGCTCATCAGTTGCCTCAAGGATATACTAACAATTAAACAAGTACAAAGCTCTTCTATAGGCCTTGCATTTTTTGTGTAAAAAAATATGTGCAGTGTGATCTTTCAGGGGGACTCACAACTCATGATTTTCCAAACCTTAAGAGAGTTCAAATATTGAGAGCCTTATTTTCAATACCTATTTTGGGAGGTCAGAGATTTCATGGTATATTTTGATGAAGTAAACGTCAATGAAATTCTAAGGGAGAAAAATCCAAAGACTAATGATTTGGTGCAATTGCCCTTCGAATTCAAGGAAAAACAAACTTTGAATGGCAAGAATGCATGTATATTGAGTTGTCACTAGATTAGCGAAAAACACTAGTTAAGTTGCTTGAAGAACCAAATAGAGTTTATCAAAGTACTCCCAAGAGCAAATCCTAAAATATATTTTGTTGGATAGGGAATCAGGTCGGCATTGATCTAATGGAACATTGGCTCAGTGTTTGAATAAGTAGGAAGTAAGAAAGGTGATGACTTAGATTTATAAAGAAATTGGGGGTGTTTACGAACAGGACCTTTTAAGAAATGGAGAATCTTTAGGCATGTGTATTTTTGGTCTACCATTTCTCAAGATTGTGTGGACTATGCTAAGGGATATGCGGATTGCAGGCTTCACAAACCAATGCATCGAGTTCCTGTGGAAAAGCTCCATCCTATTGCTAAGTCATGGTCATTTTAGGGACGGGCCATGAATATTATTAGTAAAATTTATACACTTTCATCCAAGGATTATGTTTTATCCTTGTTGTGATGGACTACTTTACAAAAAAGGGTTGAAGCCATTCTCCTAGCTTAAGTCTGGCACAATCATATTATCCGGTTCATAATTATAACATCGTCCACTAACTTGACATTTCACAGAATATTACCACAAATTAGTGGATGATTTTCACCGGCTCCAAAATAATATTTTTTTTTTTGCTCAATACAAAATTTAGATATTTCATTTGTTATCATATTATCCTCAAGTCAATGGGCAAGCAAAACCGATGAATACAAATTTGATTTTCATGATAAAAAAAAAAAAAAAAACTTTGGAAGATAATTTGAAAACTTGACATGAGACCTTGGAAGAGGTATTGTGAGTCTATCACAATACTAAGTCATCAGCTACTAGCAACACCCATTTCGGCCTACATATGGACAAGATGCAGTATTTTCTCTTTAGATTATAGTATTTTCTTTAAAGGTTTTAAAACAAAACACTATAAACATGGAAAAAATAATTAAGAGTTGTTGCAAGAATTAGATACACTTTCTAAGAAAAGGTTAAGAACTCTAGAAAATATTCTCTTGTATGGAAATAAGGTGGAAAAGGCTTATAATAAATATGTGATTTGAAACTCATTTCAAAAAAGGAATTTAGTGTGAAAGACAATTTTTCCGGAAGCATCAAATGATTCAAGATTGGACAAATAGTTCCCTCCGATAGGAAGAACATTCATTATTTCAATGAAGCTATCTAATGGTGCGTATAAGATTATGGAACCCCATGAAGGTGAACATAAAACAACAATGCAAGATATTTGAAAAGATATTACCTATCGGTTTAGAAAAAGAATAATGACTAAGCTGTATAAATAAAAAAAACAAAATATTTCGAAAGTGGCAAACCATATGCCAATTGTCTAGCAATAGCACTTGCAAATTCAAAAGATCAATTTTGGCAAAATTATTCTAACCTTAAAGGTTGAAAGATTTGGGATCTTCTAAATTAGTAGAGGTTGAGATGATATCTATATTTTTCAAAAGCGGATGCATGAGTTGCAGGTATATCTACACCTTCATCCCCAAAATGGATATAGTAGTTGTGGACCTGTCTACACCGATAGTGAATTTAAAAGCTGCATGTATTTCCATGAAGTACATATTCAACGTGGGGAGCAACAAATCCCCTCCGATAGTGGATGAAACTCCCTGATGACCAATCATCAAGAGTATAGTAAACACCATGGCAACTTGTGTAACATGTTCCAAGGATTTTCCGGAGAAAGATGTTATACCTATGAGAAGAAAATACCTAGACAGAGTGTAACTTTTTCCAATACTGTACAATTTCTTTCCAAGCCGCCTCAAGATTCTCCTTTGCTTGACAAATTAGAGAAGTTCTTTTAGCATTTTCTTGGATTCTTTGCAACCTTTTTTGGAGGGTGTTCTATTCGAGTTGTAACTTTTTAAATGAAATTTCTCCCTAATTTATTTTTCGTTTTCTCTAATAAATGATTAGACATAAGATTCTTTTTTTTGTTCCAAACTCCTCCAGCTAATCATAATAGATGACTTGGGTATATCCAAAGAAGTGGGAGGAAGATGATTTATTCTTGGAAGCTTTGTCCGAGTAAGAACAGTATTTTGTAGAAGAAGTTTGATGACATACGAACCAACCGGAATAAAATGAGACAAATGAGAAATAGGAGAAGCAAAAAAAGAAGAATGAAAAGATATGGGTGAATGACGTGTATGGTAACAAATTATGTAATGTTCCAGAGTTCTGGTAAAGTACAAAAATATAATAATTGAGTTAATAATGAGATATGTCTTAATTAAGGGTGGCTATGAAAATAAATTTATGAGTATATATATGGTCAGTAAAGTACATAAGAGATAAAAAAATTATTTTAAGAGTTTTGGTAAATTACAAAAATATAATAATTAGTTATGTCTTAACTTAAAAAAATATTATAAAAAAATTTGTGAATATATTTGTTTTTTATTTTTATTTTATTATATTATATTTTTTTTATTTTAGAATTTTATTTGATATCTTTTTTGTTAGTCTACAATTTAATTATTAATCTTTGAATTTTTATTTTTTTATTTTTATTTTATTGAAATTTTTGTTTTTTTCAATCTGTCTTACATATGTAAATTTGTACAAAATTTGTTTGAATTAGTTTGGAACTATCATTTTATCTTGTTGGTCCAATATTTTAGTAAACTTTTAATTGAAATTTTTAAAGAACGATAATTATATAAAAATGATATTTTATTCGTCCATTTTTAATATTTATATATTTTTATTTTTGTTCGTCATAGACTCTACTATTAACTACTAATATAATTTTTTTTATATTTATTTACCATTTTACCTTCATTTTATTATATATTTATATCTAAAAATAAAAATAATTTGATATTTATATAATTATATCTATCTACTATTATTAAAATATTAATATTTTTGAATTAATTTATAAAAACTAAATATAAATATTACAACGGAAGTTAAAAAATGAAAAAAAAAAAAGTATATTTTTATTGAAATATATATACAGTCATTAATAAAAATTTACAATGGGAACATATTCACAAAAATGTCTCGTGTGTACCAAAGACCAACTACTTGTCGCAACATGTGTCGGAATATGATGGGTAGATAAGAAAGTGTGATGTGTACTCGACTACAGGGTATCGCTTTCCCACATAGTATTCATCAATTCCCAATTAGCCCTTCTCAATTTCGGAAATTCCCAGATTTATCCCTGTCGGAAACCAAACTCTGGAAAACCCACCTCCCTCTCTCTCTCCCTTACTCTCTCTCTCTCTCTCTCTCCTCGTTCCTTCGCTCCTCCTTTCCCTCTCTTCCTACTCTCAATTACATAAATTTCGTTTCTCTGTGATTTATCGATCGGGTCGGCTGTAATCTCTCCCACCCATGACGATGATGACTCCTCAGCCAATGGATGTAAGGCCACTCTTTTTCTCCTTCTCCTCCCATTTTCCAATTGCGCTCGATTTCGTTATCTTGTCGCCTGTACATGTGCATGCGTAGCTAAATTTGTCATGGGTTTTCCTGCTCGGTCTCGTCTCTTGGGATAGCAGTTAATTGTGTATTTGCTCGAGCTAGTGTATGGGGAGGGATTAAAGAGTTGTTGATCTACTAGGGTTTTCGTGAACTCAATGGAGGTTTATAGTTACTTAAATCGTTTTGATTCATTACAAAATTTGCTAATTGAAGTGGCGTGGGCGGATTCAGTGTTTAAATTTTGAAGTAGGGTTATCTTTTTAACTGGATCAAGCTTCTAAGACTTTGTTTTCATTGACTGCTCAACTGTAGCAACAGGAAGATGAAGAAATGCTGGTGCCAAATTCGGATTTAGTTGAAGATCCTCAACCGTTAGTTGAAGGTCCCCAGCCTTTAGTGGAAGGGCCTCAGCCAATGGAAGGTCCTACTCTAACCCAACCAATATGAACTCTCTGCTCTATTTTCTTTTGTTCATTAATATTTTCTTTCTGAAAAATGATTATCATTATTGTTGTATACATTTTTGTTTGTTTGTTTATGATTGTGGTGTTGCTGCACTCTGATATCTATTAATGCAATTGAAGTTCCACTGGTTTTATTCAACCGAACTGTTTTTTGTTTTTGTTTTTGTTTTTGTTTATTGCATTGTCATTTTCTTCCTTGCACCAGCGGACAACCCTGGAACAGTTGAAAACCAGGCCAATGATGAGCCACAGGCATCACGGTTCACATGGACTATCCCTAGCTTTTCTCGATTGAATACAAAGAAGCTGTATTCAGATGTCTTCCTTGTTGGGGGTTATAAATGGTAAATCAATAAATGTAATTTGGCCTTTACGTTTATATGGACATCAGCCCCGGGGGGGGGGGGGGGATACTACTACGTTTTCGGCATTTAATGAAGATATTTTCATTTATTCAGAACAAGCTGAGGGAAACTAGAATTCATATTCTTTTGCAAGTTAGCGTACAGTTTAGAAAGTTATTAATTTTCCTTTCCTAATGTATTGGATTCTGCAGGCGTGTGCTTATTTTTCCCAAGGGAAATAATGTGGACTATCTGTCAATATACTTGGACGTAGCTGATTCAGCTACCTTGCCATATGGGTGGAGTAGATATGCTCAGTTTAGTTTGGCTGTAGTTAATCAACTGCGCAGCAAGTACACAATAAAGAAAGGTATGTCCTGGAGCAGATCTGATTCTGATTTCCTTTTCTGTTACTGAAATGTGATGTCTGAATTCATATTATTTTATGCATAGGGAATTATTTGCATTCCATGTGGCTATAGAGCATGATATATAATGTTGTTTCCTTTCTTTCTGCATCAAGCTTTGTTATATAGTATAATGTTGAGTTTGCATGTTGTCTGGCAACAACTAACAAGGAAGATGAAAAGGGAACAGCTAAAAAATGTGGACTAGCTATTATAATTTTCAGGTTTTCCTTAAATAAATATTGTTGGTTTGTTGGAGAATTGAGTTTTCCTTGTTGCAATTGAATTAAGTTTGGGTTCCAGTGTATTTCTTGCTTTAAGCAAAATATCTTCAGGCAAAGACTCTGGAATAATTTCAATTCAGTTATAGTTGAATAATTTATGTTGAATGAGTTAACTTAGTACTGGTTCATAATATGTATCTTTTCGTCCTTCTTCAAGGATATTTTCTACCTTAACTATAATTATATGGTCACTGATCTTGTTTGTGGGTTCCACAGATACACAGCACCAGTTCAACCAAAGAGAAAGTGATTGGGGTTTCACATCTTTCATGCCTCTTAGCGATCTCTATGATCCCAACAAGGGATATCTCGTTAATGATACATGCATTATTGAAGCTGATGTTGCTGTACGTAAGGTCATTGATTACTGGGCGTATGACTCAAAGAAAGCGACCGGTTATGTAGGGCTTAAGAACCAGGGAGCAACTTGTTACATGAACTCTCTACTCCAAACTTTGTACCATATCCCTTACTTCAGAAAGGTCACAATATGCTTTTTGTGATATATATTATTCAGATATTTATCTTTTTGGTGTATGAATATCTTTAAGGAAGAATGGTGAAGCCTCACTCGAAATTGTTGTATCAGGCTGTATATCATATGCCTACTACAGAAAATGATATCCCTACAGGAAGCATCCCTTTAGCATTGCAGAGTCTATTTTATAAGCTCCAATATCATGACACTAGCGTCTCTACAAAAGAATTGACCAAGTCGTTTGGATGGGACACATATGATTCCTTTTTGCAACATGATGTGCAAGAACTCAATAGAGTTCTGTGTGAAAAGCTTGAAGATAAAATGAAGGTTGGATTTTTTTATAGTATTATCTTCTTTGAAAAGTTCTTCTTTCTGAAAAAGGATTGTGTGAGGTAATTATAATTATTTCACTGGTGCAGGGAACAGTTGTTGAAGGGACTATTCAGAAGTTGTTTGAGGGGCATCATATGAATTACATAGAATGCATCAATGTAGACTTCAAATCCACAAGAAAAGAATCATTCTATGGTATTTTGTTTCTCAGACTTCTCACTGACAGCTTATAGTAGATGATCAAATGTTTTAACGTATACTCCTTTGTCAGACCTTCAACTTGATGTAAAAGGTTGTAAGGATGTCTATGCTTCCTTCGACAAATATGTGGAAGTTGAACGTCTTGAAGGAGATAACAAATATCATGCTGAAGAACACGGTTTGCAGGTATGCTACTCCAAGTAGATAAATGTCATCATATTTGAGCTCTTCACTTATTTTCATATTTACATGAACACTTTTCTGAGCTGAATGATATTCTTATCTTTCGCCATAGAAGATTTGCGTTGTGTGAAAATGAATGCAAAGTGTATAGAAGATGGATAGAACTTGCTATTCTGGCGGATAAGAGTGGAGGTTTTGTCCCATGAATGTCATTAATTTAGGCCATTAAGTGAGAGTTTTTTTCATGTAATACATCATGTGCAGTTAAATGTATACAGCTGACCATTAGAGTATCCTCTTCTATTCAATGTAGATGGCCATACTCTGCTTGATTTTGTTTTAATGTTAAAATCCTTATTCACCTTAGAATGTTTCAGTTCGATGTTTCTCAGGTTGTTGTTTTGCCTTTTATAGTTCATTTTATTTTTCTAAGATAAAATCTTGTAAGAAAATTAAGGCCTGTTGTTAAACAGTAAACAGTTGCAAATTTTGGCATATAATTCAGTCCAACTGCAGCCATTCAGTAGTCCACAGAATCAATTATCTGCATCTTAATAATTTGTGTAGATCGTGTATAAAATGAATAATGTTGAATAGTTGGAGAATAATCTTTTATGTAATTTAGAATGCCAGATTCATTTTCTTAAATGCCGCTTCTTGTTCATATGCTGTTATCATCAATTGATGGGCCTGGAGTTGTTCCACAAATAGAAAGTAATTGTTGGGTTTGTCATGAAATCCCTTTCAAATAAATAGTAGCACCCTTATAGCAGACTTCAGAGATTTGCTGATGTTTGGTTGATGTATTAAGGGTGTGTTTGTTTGTAAGGTTTTGGTTTTGATTTACTATTTCAAAAAAAAATTTCTGCCAAAAATATTGTTTTTTATTTGGTATATTATACCAAAATTTAATATACATTCAAAATATCACATCAAACACATTTATATTTCATCAAACAACTATTTTAATTTAAAATTTTACTATTCAAAACCAAAACCTCACAAGCAAACACACCATTATAAATCAAAATGGCAAGTTCATAAGGTAAACACAGTGCTGTTGTGTAGCGATACCTTTTGAACCACCATGTAACATGTGCATTCGTTGTGGACTTGTGGTTGCATGTAAGCAATATGAAATCAACTAGCAGTCTCGAATAAAAACATAAGCCTTATATTCTGTGTCAGTTTGTCAACAAGTTACCTTTTTACTGTTCTCATTGCACATTTCTCTTTGATTTATTTGTTCCTTTCTTCATTTGTGCAATTGTTGGTACACTGTATTCTTCTAATTTGCTTGGTTCTTGGATTTTACCAATAACACACACACAAAAAACAGTAAACCTTTGTTGCTTGGTGATGGTTTAGGCCTTGCTTGATTGTGTTTGCCCACATTTTTTTAACCATGCATTTACAATATATTTTTGCTTTTTTCCGTCCCAAAAACATCACATCACAAACCTATTTTTTATTTAGTATATACCATACAATATTTTATTTTCTATTCAAAACATTACATCAAATATTATTTTATATTATACTAAACAATTATTTCAAATTCAAAATTTTTAATAGTCCAAAATTTGTTTTTTGGAGACCTTTGTATGAGTGTGATTTCAAACAGCTTTGGCGTGCGTACTTCTCATATGTTGACGCATTCATCTTTTTACTGGCAGACGGTTGTTATGCACTGATTTAGAATGTCTACTTACATTTGGTCGAGGCTACTTAGTTAGGATGCTTTGATTACAATAACTTTATGTATTGTTTGTATGCTTATTGGCCTGAATTTTCTGAATTTGAATCTAGGATGCAAAGAAGGGTGTATTGTTCATTGACTTTCCGCCAGTTCTCCAGCTTCAGTTGAAGCGTTTTGAATATGATTTTATGAGGGATACTATGGTTAAGGTATGTAGTTAAAACATTAATGTTCTTCTTTTCAATGAGTTACTATGGTCAGTTTCTCTCTCTTTCTTTTTCCTCTATTGTGTTTTGGTATAAACTTTACATCTAAACATTCCTGTTGCTTGCAGTGTTGTTGGCACAGGCTTAAGAATTGAAACTAACAGATAGCTTTTATTTTGTGGTCACTTACTCATACTTATTTGCAGTTCATATGTCTCCCTGAGGCAACCAAGGATAAAAATTATTTTCATTATGATCTCAGTACTATTGTTTGCTTGTGACATAATTGGTTTGTTTGGTTTTTGTTTGAAACTGAGTTTTTGTTTAAATAGTATTTTGATGTGATATTTTGTGACAGAAAATAATATAAATTTATTGAAAATTATGCCGACAAAATATTTATAAGTTCTGTTTGAAATCAAAACCACACACCCAATGTTTTAACTAGAAAGGTCGTGACGCAGTGAGAACGGAAATTTCTTACTAAACAAAATTTTGTAACTTGTAGATTCAACTATGAAATAATAATATGTAAAATATCTTTTAGAGAAAAAAAAATAGAAGTTTATACACAATGAGAGAAAATTATATACGCCAATATTACCTGAAAACCTAGAAAATGTAAATAAAGAAAATAGTTACTGTATTAATATAACATTGTGCATTAAAAAGTATGCCTTAGCCTGCTAAGATACACAAAAAGGCAACTCAATGCATTTGTATAATGTTATAATTGACTAAGATATTTTAGATCTTGTAATTATATGTTTGACGTAGGGAAAATTTAACTTATCAATATCAACCGGTATATTTTGGCTGGACCAGATTATCTTAATGTGGCCCTCCCTGCAAATTAATCAACATTTATGGCAATTTGAATAAAGTGAGAATGAAAAGAAAAAAATGTAATGAGTTGAAATTGTTTGTTGATGGTGAGAAATAAATGCAATAATTTAAAATTTGAAGGACGGAAGGATAAATAGTGTTCCATAACTTCTCAATTGGATTAAAGGTGGCTACTCTATTGGTTGATGCGGTAAAATGGTATGGATTGATTAAATCTCTATTTTATCGACAATTTATGTGATAGGATATTAAGCAGTTTCACAGTAATTTCCTCTTGTTCATTATTATTTTCATCTCACTGCTGGTTAATGCTTGCTTGTGCTCCTTCAGTAGATTAGAATGGAAATGTTTTCTAACTAGTATGCATCAGTGATTTCTACATCTTGCCCTCCCGATTTTAAGTTTTTATTACCATATCATGGTAGGATAAATGAACTATGCTATTCTTAATTTCCTTTGTACATTTCACTGTTGGGGGTTGGGGATTCTCTTGAAAATATACAAATAAAATGATAAATGCCTGTTTGAATACATGCTTCAAGAGAAGTAATAGCCTCTGGAAAAACCCACCCCTTCCTCTCAGTTTTTATACAGGTCGTCCATATATGAATGTAGTAGAAGGTTCGTACAGAGTGATACCCAACTGCAGGCTTGTCTAAAATGATTTTTAATTTTCTGGTAGACTATTAACTCCATATAACCAACCGAATGTGCCCCATACTTCCTACTTTAATATCTGTAAACCCTTAGATAATCCATAATCATCTAATGATGGCAGATAAATGATCGATATGAATTCCCATTGGAACTGGATCTAGATAGGGACAATGGAAAGTATTTATCACCCGATGCAGATCGAAGTGTGAGAAACCTCTACACACTTCACAGGTTATCACACTCCCTTTACCTTTCTGTGCATTCATGTTATTTTTGCTGTGAAATATATATATATTCTTTAAATTACGCCAGGGATGGGGTTTCAGCAGCACAATCTTCTTAAACTAAAAGTTGATTTGAAAAGACAATAAGAACTGTTCAAACTTCAAAGTTCATCCATTTGAAGTAGCTTGTTTGCTAATTGAGACTCATATAAGATCATATGCATCCTTTCTGTATCATGTCTCAGCTTGTGATTGCTTTCTTGTGTCAATTAATGATCTCTTTATTTGTTAGAAATTCTGACTTGAATTGATTGCTAACAAAACTGTTTGTCATTATAAGTTGGAAAAATTAAAATGATACTATATCATCTAATCCTTCCAGCGTACTGATACTACTAAGCACACATAATATGATTTGATATTCATTTGTCAAATCAAAGTAATTTTACCTTCTCCATAATGCATTCCCTTATTGAGGAACTTAACATTTTTGTTAAGTTTTTTTTGTATGAGCATGAACATAGTAATTTTTCTTTTTGTGGGTTGTAGATCTTTGGAACATATTTCCAAAGATATTTGATTGATATCATGCCATGTTGAATATAACATTTAATAGAGTAATTTGATTCGATTGTCTGATAGATGTAGATGGCTGTGTCATACATTTGTGGTGATAGTAGATTTCTCTATCCTGTTGGCAGCAAGATCCACTAGGCTTGTGCCTGTGGTTTTATATACTGTTGATAAATAAAATTTTATTTCCTTGTTAACATTCCCATTTTCTATGCCTACTACTTTTGTCTCCCAACAGTGTCTTAGTTCACAGCGGCGGGGTGCATGGTGGACATTACTATGCTTTCATCCGGCCAACACTCTCGGATCAGTGGTATGCAATATTATTCTAAAGAATCTTTCCCTTCCCTATCCTGACACCGACAAATGATAATTATTATTATTTTCTGCTGCTTATATATGATCCTAAATTCAAATGTTACATTTGTATATGCATATGCTCATATATATATACAGACATAAAACCTAATTATAACCATAGAAGCTTTCTTAACATTTTCAGCACACCACAAAATTCTAAAATGAGATGTATTGAATTTGTACTCAGTTCAAGATACTTCTACTCCAAATTGATCACTATTTTCAGTCCTTAAAAAGAATGAAACTTAAAACAAAGCATGCCTTGTGATATTGAAATATTTCAAAGATGCCCTCAGTTTCTATTATCAGTATGACACTGAGAAAACAGTCATGAGCTTTTGTATCTAAGGTCATGTATCAGTTGGTGTTAATTATATAAGCAACCACATTGTATCTTCTATATGTGCATGCAATCATTTAACGTGTCAATGTTAATGAGCCATATGAGGTAGTGGAGTTTTGTGCATTCCCTTTTCAGGTATAAGTTCGATGATGAGAGGGTCACTAAAGAAGATGTAAAGAGGGCATTAGAGGAGCAATATGGTGGAGAAGAAGAGGTGATATTTATCTGCGCTACCCTTCCCCCCATTTTCATTCTCCTGTGCATCTTTCTGTTTGTGTGCTTATGTTTTCTTTATATTTCAGTTGCCTCAGACAAACCCTGGCTACAACAATACACCATTCAAATTTACAAAATACTCAAATGCCTACATGCTTGTGTACATACGAGTCAGTGACAAAGATAAGATAATATGTGATGTGGATGAGAAAGATATTGCGGAGCATCTTCGGGTATTTTTTTTTTTCAGCATCAAGAATTTTTTCAAATTTCTGATTGTTTTGTGCTGAAGTCTCTGATGAAATGTCACAGGTAAGACTGAAAAAAGAGCAAGAAGATAAGGAGGATAAGAGAAGATACAAAGCTCAGGCTCACCTTTATACTATTATCAAGGTTATGGTTATGAAGGCACATTCTTGTGCAAACCTGCACTCCACATTTCTGTTAATGCATTGCTGAAGCTATTTATTAATATTTTACAGGTTGCTCGAGATGAAGATCTTAGAGAACAGATTGGGAAAGATATACATTTTGATCTTGTGGATCATGACAAAGTTCGTAGCTTCCGAATCCAGAAGCAGATACCTTTTAACACATTCAAGGTGCTGCATTTACTTATTCAACTTGTTATCACGAAGCAAATTACATCTAGCTGTTTCTTTATATGTTCAAGGAGTTTATTCTATTCCATAAAAGTTGGCGAGTGTAATAGTTGTTAAATTCTAATGCTCTAGAGGTTGGTAATGACAGGAAAGCTTCATTCAAACTTACAAGTAAGTTGATTAAAAAAAATCATAATGTTGAGATGATGAACCACCCATTGAATCCATAACAGGGTTCTGAATTGTGTGTTGAGATGCTACTTTCATGTGTTACCGAATCCTCAGAAACACATTCTTCAGATTCTACAGATACACAATGAGATTGCTAACTAATATTTACTTTGCGAATATAAGTCATGGATGTGTTCAAGTGTTCATTATGTAGGAATGAAATAATAGCTTTATTCTTGGCATTCGTAATAAAGCTGAACTGTGAGTGAATGAGTTACTGACAGTTATTTTGATACAGTCCTTTGTTTTGCTACTTTGCATATACATCATCACAAGTGGGATGTGAGCCCTGATTGTTATGCATTACTGCTCATTTACTTATGGAAATAGTTTTGTCATGCATCCCTTCCGGGATTTAAATACCAGTAAGCCAACTCTGATCCCAACATAAGTTAATCAAACATTAATTGTAAGGTCCATTTGCAAGTTAAACTACTGCTTCTGTTTGTTACGTATGTCAACGATTGCTTACAAGTTGAAGCATTTTTTTTATTTGTTTCTTTATGTTTCCATGCTAACTAATTAGTTGTGTTTAATGAAGGAAGAGGTTGCCAAAGAATTTGGCATACCAGTTCAATTTCAGCGTTTCTGGATTTGGGCAAAACGACAAAATCATACCTATCGTCCAAATCGGCCATTGACACCCCAAGAGGAAGCACAAACAGTAATATTATTGCTTACTTTACTGTTAAATTTTGAAAAATAACAGCCATATAATTTTTTCTGGGAGAATCAAGTTTTTGCCTTATCAATTGGTGAGATAAAAAGTTTACCTGTGAAATTTATTTATTCAACTTTTTATATTAAGTCATCTTCTGATCTTTTAGAGTGAATTGGCTGTTGAAGCTTTGAATGCAAGTTGTTTTGTTTAGGATTCAGCCATGTTAAGCAGTAAATGTAAAAAATATAGGAACATAGTATAAAGAGAAGAACATAAAAGATAAACATGCAGAACTTGTTACTGCTTTCACTGAGAATCCCCATATTGTACACCATAATTCATAACACTATTCAGAGTCTGCTCACTCCTTTTAGGGTTCAGATATATTATTGTGTTGGTTATTCTGGTCTGAAGAGTCTCTGAATTTTGCTGCCAATTCAATATGCAATCCCTTTGTTTGTTATTTCAAAAAGTCACTTTTTATATTTTTACGTAGTCCTATTTGATGTTCCTCAGGTTGGAACATTGAGGGAAGCATCCAATAAGTCTCATGCTGCTGAGTTGAAGTTGTTTTTGGAAGTCGAGCATGGACTGGTATCCCATTACAAAATTCGAATTCATTTTGTTGGTTAGCATGGTATTGTGGTCGTTGAGGTTTCTTGTAGCTCCTGTCCTCACTGTATCTTGTGTGTTGTATGTGTAGGATTCACGCCCAATTTCCCTACCAGAGAAAAATAAAGACGACATACTGCTATTCTTTAAGCTCTATGACCCTGAGAAAGAAGAGATTCGGTACCTCTTTTCTCTTTAAATGTAGTAATAATTTCTCTTCTCAAATTATTTTATTCTTGTATTATGCCCTATGATTTTTCCAGATATGTTGGGAGACTTTTTGTAAAAAGCACTGGAAAACCTATTGAAATCATGGCAACATTAAATCAACTGGTTGGATTTGCTCCTGATGAAGAGATTGAACTCTTTGAGGTTTGTCTTGAACTTGTTATTGAATTATACCGTGATAACACTGTAAACCAAGTGTATTACTTTTTTGCTTTAATTTTGAGCATGCAATGTAATTCATAATGCATATCCCCTGTTTCTATTTTGTCAGGAAATTAAATTTGAGCCCTCTGTGATGTGTGAGCGGCTCGACAAAAGAGCTTCATTCCGCTTTAGTCAGGTATTTTTTTTTGTAGTACTCCATCTATATGAGCTTCTATTTCTTTGTCGTGTATATGTTTTACCCCCTACAACGCTTCTGTGATTCATCAGATTGAAGATGGAGACATTATTTGCTTCCAGAAGCAGATTTTGCCTGAAAGTGAAGGAAAAGTTCGATTCCCTGATGTTCCTTCTTTTTTGGAGTATGTTAAAAATCGCCAGGTCAATCATTGATTTCCAGCTTGTCTTTACACTTCCTGTGGCTTGTAACAATTGTACTTGTATTTGGTATTTGCAAATTATTCCTTGGCCTTTCCTGGGAGGGAAATTTGATTCAGTTATATAAAGTTGTGAAAATGCAACAACTGTGTGCCAAAGTTCAAATTTATTCTCTGTACATTAAGTAATTTTGTATTTTTATAGCCTTTAGTTCCTTATTTTGTTTACTAGGTAGCTTCTGCCTGTGAGATGTATAAACCTGTAGGGGAAAGTAATTCTCTACGGAGCTGGGAACCATTAATTACCCCATCTTTAAGCTACCTACTAATTTTTATATGTCCTCTTTCAGATTGTGCATTTTCGATTTTTGGAGAGACCCAAGGAAGATGAATTTTCCCTAGAATTGTGAGTATCCCCTATGCGTATCTCTGGAATGTTGAAGAATGAGGGGTGTGAGCTCTAGATTAATATTCTCTAGCTTTGCTGGAAATTGTTTGGGAATATGATATATGCCATTTAACTACAGAGCAAAGAATCACACTTATGATGATGTTGTGGAAAGAGTGGCCCAGCATCTGGGCTTGGATGATCCATCAAAAATTAGGCTTACACCTCACAATTGTTATTCCCAGCAACCAAAACCCAATCCCATCAAATATAGAGCAGTTGATCAATTGCTTGATATGCTTGTCCACTACAATCAGGTACTTAAAATTCTTTCCATAATTTCTTTTGTGTGGCTTTCTTGCGTTTCATTTCGTTTATAGTGGTTTGAAGCTGACAACTTTGCTGCCTTTTGTGATAGATTTCTGACATACTGTATTATGAAAAGCTGGACATTCCTCTTCCTGAATTGCAGTGTCTTAAAACACTCAAAGTTACCTTCCATCGTGAGGATGAGGTGCAGATGTTTCTATAATCTATCTTATCGTATAATCATCAATATTTTTAATTAAGTGATTTATGTTTGTTGTCCTTTTCAGGCTGTGATTCTCAATATCAGATTGCCAAAACAAAGCACTGTTGGAGATGTGCTTAATGATATTAAGACGAAGGTTAGTTAGCCACTGCAGACGGCAGTCTTCCTTCAGTATCTGTATCACTTGCTATGCAATATGAAATACAAAATTGCATTTCATTGGTAGTTCTGTTGAACCAAAAACACGTTAAAGGAACTGAAGTAGTGCCATTTCACCAAGTCCTTCCAATACCTGCTCTCTTACTAAGATTAATTGTGTTCTATGACCTTTTCAAGCAACTCTCTTGGCTATTCATCTCAAAATAGTCTCTGAGTATCTTCCAACTTCCATCATGTGCATAAGATAGAGCTCTCACTCATACCTTTTGATCTTGTCATAGGTAAATTTATCTCATCCAAATGCAGAGCTTAGGTTGCTTGAAGTTTTCTACCACAAGATTTACAAGGTAATGTCCTCTTCTATGACATGCTTTAATTCTTAATGATCGATGAAATTTTAGGAACCATATCCTCTCTCTACAATTTCAGCAATGGATCAAGTGCAGTGGCTGTGAACTTGTTGTATCCTGTACTGTATACATCACATGCCAAAAATTTGAATTTGGATTAGAAGCTAAATAGCTCTGATCTGTTTCTGGGTTAGGGTCGAACTTGGCCTGTGATTCTGAGGAACTTCTGACATTGCATCATTGCATATGTGATTTTAACCTGGCATCTTCAATAATGTAGGGTCTGCCTTTCAATTTTGCAGGTTTTTCCTGTACAAGAGAAGATTGAGAACATAAATGACCAGTACTGGACTCTGCGTGCTGAGGAGGTCTGTCCGCTTTTCAAAACTTTATGGTTCTCTTTGCTATATATATTGTTAAATGTAAATGCCCGCAGACTGTTTTGAATCTTCTGGACATTGTTTGACCAGTTTCAGATATGGACAACCTCTTCCACTGTTCAAAATTTCAAATAATCGCCTTTTTCTATTGGACATTGGTTGCCTGAAGTAATCATAGAGTATGCAATTGTCTTCTTTTTTATATTTCAGATTCCCGAAGAAGAAAAGAATCTTGGGCCTAACGATCGCTTGATTCATGTATACCATTTCACAAAGGAAACTACCCAGAATCAAGTGGTAATTCAGCACGGCTGATTCTATAATTGCACATAGAATCTTATACGAATATTTAACTAATTATATGCTGTATTTGTTCCTTAACAGCAAGTTCAGAATTTCGGAGATCCTTTCTTTTTGGTCATTCATGAAGGCAAAACGCTGGCAGATGTCAAAGTTCGCATTCAAAAGAAATTGCAGGTTCCTGATGAGGAGTTTTCTAAGGTATATTACTGGATTTGCTTCACTTGCCCTTTTTGCTAACTAGTGAATATTATATATATATGTGTGTGTGTGTGTGTGTGTGCGCGCGTATTTGTGTGAAGATTTGACCCATTGCTAAATTTATCAGTGGAAGTTTGCATTCTTGTCATTGGGACGACCTGAGTATCTCGAGGACTCTGACATTGTTTCAAGTCGTTTTCAGGTCACAGATTCCTCATGCTTGTAATTTCTATACTCCCCGAAACCTAAAACTAATTTTGACTCCAGATGTTCATTTTTTTTTTTTTTGTTAAGCAGAGGAAAGATGTCTATGGTGCTTGGGAGCAGTATCTGGGGCTAGAACACTCGGACACTAATCCGAAAAGGCCATATGCTGCAAGCCAGGCAAGCAACTCTACATTACCATTATCTCTCAGTATTAGTATGTGATGTGAGACTGACAAATTATTCTTTTTTATTATTCCAATATTTAATCTTATTACAGAATCGCCACACATTTGAGAAGCCAGTAAAAATATACAATTAAATTCCAAACTGCAGCTGGCTTAAGCCCGTAATGAGAAGATTTGCCTTGGTCTGCTTCTCTCAAAGGTTCTGGTTATGCTTTTATTTAATAGCTCGTATCCTATGACTGACTTAGATCGGAAGGGGGAGCTTTACTCTTAGACGTGCATTCGTTTTTGTGGTTGGTATATATTGCACTTTCATTTTTGCATTGCTATCAAGTATTCGGGCAAAATGTTGGATTTTTTTTAAATTATGTGTAAGTTATGATGGACAAGACAGACGATTTTGGGTGGTGTAGTTGTAAAGATGAGTATAGTTAGGCCTTCCGCCTTCTCCTTATCCTTTTTCCCATGTCGATTTTATTTTGCATCGCTGTTGTGTTGTTTGTATTTCTTTGTGTCTTCTATAAACAGACGGGGAGAGGAGAATGAGGATCTGTTTGCCTGCCTGCCTGCTTTGTAAAACAAACAATTATCCTGCTTTTTCAAAGTACATATATATTATTGTTGTTATTGTTGTTGTTTTGTGTCCATATCTTTTCTTCTTCAATTTATTGTTTGGATATTCTTTCTCTACTAACGGATAGATGCCTGCCTGCCTACCTACCTACCTACCTACCTACACTTCTCTGAAAGTATAAAAAAAGAAACAAGTTTGGATGGATGAAAGATGATATTTGCAAGGCCAAAAGATTGTGCTGTGTAAACAATATTGATCACATCAATTGTGGTTTCTTAATTTGAAAATTATTTGGGTTTTAAGTTAGAAAGTTTTAGAAGTGGTTTATTTAATTAGAAGTAGTGGTCATGTTTGGATGAAAGATGATGGATGTGTTTGTTTTGTGAGATTTTTTGAAAGGATTTTTTTTTTTTTTTTTTTTGGTTGTTGAAAGAACATACCCTATGTTTGCAAGGCCAAAAGATTGTGCTGTGTAAATAACTTGATCACATTAATTGTGGCTTCTTAGTTTGAAAATGTTGATGTGATCATATGCACAACCTTTTGTGGTTGTGAAGTTGAGAATTAATTGGTTTTTAAATTGAAAATTGGGTTAGAATTATAATGTATTTATTTTTAATTTTTACACAAATTAAAAATATATTATTACACATGCATAAGTTACAAAAAATTAAAATGTTAAGAGTTATTTTATACGTTTTAATTAACTAATAAATTACGGTAGCTACAGGTCATTTATAGAAATTTTACTCCAATTATAAATTTTAATTTCCACTCTATATTTCTAATATATTTTTCTTTTATATAATTTTTTATATTTATAAATTATACCCCAATTTTAATTTATTTTTACAATACAATCCAAATATATATAATTACACATTATATATCACTTTTCAAAAGGTAAAATTAATATCATTTTTGAAAAATAAAATTATACTATCATGTTTAAAAAATAAAATTATATCACTTTTAAAAAATAAAATTATATATTGTTTTTAAAAAAAATAAAACTACACACTGTACCTTGATGCAAAAATGGGGGAATTTGGGGATGGGTTGAAGCTCCTCTACTAATGGGGGAATTTGAGGGTGTGTAGAAGCCCATCCCCCAATTTTTGCGCAATCCACTGCATTTTTTAAGTGGGTTGAGTTGCTCTAATATATATATTTAAAAGAAATACAATATATATATTGAATCTTTTTAATAAAATATACTCTCTATCAAATGTACTTATTTAACTTTTACAAGCATGTTTAGGTATATTAATATTTTATAAATATGTAATGTAATATAAAATTATGTAGTGTAGTATAAAATCTATTTTATCTTTAATATTAGTGAAATTAAAAGAATAAGGACAATAAAATAAAAAATATTTTGATATTTAATTGAGAGATATACTTTAAAAAAATGAAAAAAAATAAATACCTTTAATTTGAACGGACATAAATTACAAAATAAATATTTTGACTCAGGCCGAAGGAATATAATATAGATATCATGTAGGTAATATAATTTTATATAATATAAATAAATAAATAAAATATAAATATTTATTTATGACTAAAATAAATTAATTTTATTAAACAAATAGAGAATTTTGAATATACGTAAATTTATTTATTTATTAACAAATAAAAATATAAAATTTTGAATGTGTTCACATGTTTTAATATATTTTTTTTAGGAAAATGGAGCACAGCAACAGTTAAGCGATAACCAAACAAATGGTGCAAAGTGATAACCAAACAAATGGTGCATTATATAAACAAATGGTTGATATTGCTTTGTTTTCTATGACTGCCCTTGTTATAGCAATCAGATAAATGTTTATGTGATTTATATAGTTTACCTTTATAACATATATATATTTGAGTTTTATCATTATTTATATATATTAAAAAAATAAATTAAATAATAATTTTTTTTTAATAAAATATTCAGTTTTTAAATATTTTAAAATTTTCTAAAATGCTTATATGAGATTTTTATAAACTAATTTTATCTTTATTTTTAAATAAAACATTTGTGATTTTTAACGACTATTTATTTTTATTATTCTTATTTTTTTTATAACATAAAAATTCGCAAATTTTTGGTTGAGTCTAATAGTCTACAAATCAGGTATGATAAAACAAGTTGCAAATTTTCGGTTGAGTCTAATAGTCTACAAATCAAGTATGATAAAACAAGTTACACCATAGGAACTATGTCTAAGTGACTATTTATTCATTTATATATTGAATGCTTCATAATTCAATATGTATAAATGTACAAATTGTGCATTATTGTGTATTAATATTTTGCCATAGCACAAAATTTAAATTGGTTTTATGAAATTGCACCAAATTCTCTATATTTTTAGAACTGTGTCAAACTCTCCCGTGGTTTCATAAACTCTGTGTCTAACCATCGACGGTTCTTATTTAATGGTACTTGACCTAAATGCCTCCAAACTGCGAATAAATTTTAGAATATCAATTTCTAAACCCCTAAAATTACAAATATATTTTTTTTTTTCTTATATTTAGCCTCAAAAACAGTAAAAAATTAGACTTTAATCTTATTTCAAAATTTTAAATTTATAATTTTTTAAAATTTTAATTAGACTAATTAATTATCTTTATTTTAATATATAATTATTTTAATTATGATAATTTTTTTTACTAATACATTTTTAATTATTTACTAATCATATCCCTTCTAAATTTTTCTGTCTACAGTGAAGCGAAAATGATAGCCGGGACGGAGGGAGGAACATTTTTTATTATCAATATATTTTTAATATCATGATCTTTTTGACACACATTATGAAGATTTTTTAATTAGATAGTTAACTAATTTGATTGAATATGATTAGTATCTATGTTCCAACTCAAGTATTTTGATTGTAGTAGATAAAATCTATGTTCCAACTCAAGTATTTTGATTGTAGTAGATAGTATCTATGTTCTAACTCAAGCAAAAATAATTATATTTTGATTGTAGTAGATAGTTATAAGTAGTATAAAAACTATATTGTCCTTACTTTCAAATATAGAAATAATGATGTGATGGTAAAGTAAAAACATTTATACAAAAATGGAGTCAATAGTTATTAAAAAAGAAATATATAATTACAGAAATAAAAAGATATATAGGTTAACGCGGGATGAAGGGAGTATCATTTTTAATTATAGTAAATGTAATCGTATCTACATACTAAAATATCCTTAAATTTTATAAAAATATTAATTGTTTTTGTATTTGTAAGAGTAAAAATATAAAAAACATCTTGTATATTATATTAACCAATAAAATACTATTATTTTTAACTTAGTATAAAAATAAAGAATAGGCAAAATAGCAAAAAGCTCTCCTGTGGTTTCCCAAATTTGATGAAAACCGCTCGTGGTTCTAAAACTCAAAAAAAAAAACCTTCTTCTCCGTACTATCAATTTCTTCTCTTTTGTTTTACCAAACCCACAAATTTAATAAATCAATTTGACATCCAAATTTGAAATCAATAAGGAACTTTATGCTACTGGGTGCAAAAGAAGAATTGAGGAGGAAAAATAAATAAGAAAGAAAATTGGGGAAAAAAGAGAAAGAAAAAAAAAAATTAAAGAAAAAAAAAAGAGAAAAAAACCAAGAAGAATTGGAGAGGAAAAATAAAGAAGAAAGAAAATTTGGGAAAAAGATAGAGAGAAAAAAGAAAGAAAATTGGAGGAAAAAAAAAAAAAACTTGGTCAGCCCGCTTGTTCTTGTTCTTCTTTCCCTTTTCTTCTTTCTTGTCTTTCTCTTCTTCCTTCCTTCTTTCCTGCTCCAACCCGCTTCTGTTTGTCATTTTTTTTCTTTTCTCATTATTTTTCAATTCTTCATTCTTTAAAGAAGGAAAAAAATTTGGGGAAAAAGAAGAAAATAAAGAACCGAGTGGGGCTGCAGCGGCATTAAAAAGATTTTGGGAAGAAGAAAAAAAAATTAAGGAAAAATCTGGTGCTCATGTGAAGAAGATGGAAGAATTAGTGTTGTTGGGGAGAAGAGAAGAAGAAAAAAGAAAAGATTAGAGAAATAAATTAAAATATATATAAATAAGGGTATAACGGTTAAATCTTATAAAATTTATCGTTCTTTAGTCAAATTTAGAGAATGTGGAGAATGTGCAACATTTTGGAAACCACAAGTAGGTTTTTGAAATTTTAAAATTACGGGGGATCAACGAATTCGGAAAGCCATATGGGAGTTTTTTGCTATTTAGCCAAAAGAATATATTGAATCTAGGCAAAGGAAATATTTGTTATAAAGTGATATTTAATATATTTTTTATTGGATGAGATATTATATAAACTCTACGTCTAAATCATTGGTCGTTCTTATTTAACGGTATTTGCTCTACACGCATCCAAATTGCGAATGAGTTTCAAATCTCATTCTAAAGCCCTAAAGTTATAAATATATTCATTCATTTTATATTTAGCTTTAATGAACATTAAATGATACACTTTTAAAAGTACGAAGGTTTTGACGCAATTTTATGAAATCAATATGAATTTTGTACAATTTTGTCAAACAATTAAATAATAAAAAATATTAACCGAACTTTAATCCGGTATGGTACTGTGTTAAACTACCGTGCTAAACAAATTCAAATAATTAGATTATAATACTTACTCTATTCCTTAACAAATTATCCATTTTTTCATTTTGTTCAGTCTTAAAACAAAGTAACTATACTATCTATCTACCATTACAGATATTCTTTCAATATACAATATGTTATACAAATTTCATTACATTTATATTATACAATACTAATAAGGTTAGTTTAGTCTTTTTACTTTTATTTCTACTATATTCTAATATAATACTAATATTTTTAAAAATTATGTGTAAAAAGTAAATAAATAGATGTACTGATGAAGTATTAATTATGAGATTAATTTCTTCATTTATGACCATAATTAAGTGCTATAAATATAGAAAAGAATATATAATTATATAAATTATTTTTTTATTTTGTGGTGGAAATTATTTCACACAAAAAAAAATTAATTTCACTCACTATCATCCAAACGAAGTATAAAATTCTCAAAAAATAAAATACAATTGTGTAACACTATAGGCCGAAGTGAAGAAATAACGGACATAAGAATTACATTCAAAGAGCTTTGAATTCCAATAAGATTTCATTTTGAAAGTAAATTTACAATTTTTATTTTACCGCATCTTATATTTATTTTATAATATGATCTTAGAAAACATAAGAAAATGTTTATACAATCAGAATATTATCACTTGTATTTTGGAACAATAATCCCTTGTATTTTAGGAACAAATATATTATTTTATCAGTTATGATTATTTTTAAAATATATAGTACTCCCTCCGTCTCATTCCATTGAAAGGTTGTCATTTTTCATTTTCGTCCGTTCCAAAACAAGGTTACAATTTTCTAATTTAATAATTGTACTACTTACCTAACATAATAAATACCCTTTCAATTTACAATATATTACACAAATGTCATTACTTTTATATGACACTATACTACTAGGGATATTTTTGTCTTTTTTTACTACAATTCAATATAATACTAATATTAAAAAATCTACGTGAGCAAACGCCACTCTTTCACCGGGACAGGAGTATAATATATTAGAAATTTTATATTATTTTTGTTTTTCATATTTGCAAACTTTTCAACTATCATAGTAAAAACATAAAAAAAAATTGATCAACATCATTTTTTAAAAAAGCTTTTACTTTTTATTTTTCAAATTTTCATAAAATCCTACTAATTCCTAATTTACAAAAATATTTAAAATTCCATTATGGTAGTTTTAGGAATTGAAAATTTAGTTCAATTTAATTACATAAATTAACAAAAAAATTAATTTATATTTACATTTTAGAAAATATTTAATTTATTGATTATAATACTAGATTGACCCATAATTTAAGAAAGTATAATCTACTTTATTTTATTAATTGTGGAAATTAATTTATATATATATATATGTTTCAAAATATTTAAACACAATAAATCTAATAATTTCATTATTACGAAATATAGAATATTGAAATATTACAAAGAGCATATTATATTGTTGATTACAACAATTCACATCATTTACTCGTTTATAATTTTTTTAAATCTTGAATCCCCATGATGTATACAAATTTTATTATTGGTATACTCATATGTAAAGACTTTTTTGTCCGAATTCAAATGCATAAAAGGTCAAAAAAAAAAAAAAAAAAAAAAAACCTGATTGCAATACATTTTGTTAAAAAAATAATAATAAAACAAACAAATCGTTCGTGAGCTTGATTTGATTCGGTCTGAACTCATGACCTCGTGGTCACAAGTCCAACCTCTACACCACCACCAGGTGATCCCTTATGGGACCATAATTCTTTATTCTTCAATTAGCATAACATGATCGGTCTTATATAGATATATTTCTTTAATGAACGAGCCCAAATCTTATTAGTGCATATTCGTTAAAATAACATATTTGTAATATATATATATGAAATTATGAATTAAAATATAACTAAAGAAATAAATAAAATATCATATATATATATATATATATAAAAGCAAACTCAATATAGCAGACCACGAACTAGAACTCGAATGATGAAATTGCTTAATGAACCAAACTCAAATACTACAAGCGAGCTCAACTATTTAACGAACAAATACGACCCTTGTTCATAAGCTTAACAAATAAATACAAATATTTAAAATTATATTATATTGTACTAGTCTGAGGACATATAGTTGTAGGAAAAAGAAAATGTAAGGCTTACTCAACCTATTTGGCTGCTGATGGTTTTTGAGGATACAGAAGCAAAGAGGACTGACCAATAATCACAAAACAAAGTAGTATGTAAATTTGCAGCTTTCAAATAATTGATATGCAATCTGAGGGTGTGTTTACTTTGGCTGTGACTGCGGTAAATCATATTATTTTATCCAATCCAATCCAATCACATATATATTATAATGAATTAAAATCCAATATTAATTGAAGTTCGCCACATTAATATGTTAATTAAAAATGATTAATCCTACCTAGATGGATAAGATTAATTTTTCAAAGTAAAGGCACCATGAACATAAAAACTTAGAAAAAAAGGCAGACAATTTAGTCCCTACTGGATCACCAGTACTTACTTACAGCATCTCTCTGTGTGTGTCTGTAAAACTTTGTAAGAAATGACACCTTCATTTGTCTCCACACAGAGCCTGTTCATTTTTATGAGCAACAGCAAGTAAGATCTTGCTTTGTAACCTGCATTGCATAAAAAGAGAACCAACAGACATTAATTAAATTTGAACAAACCAGAATGTTCCTCGAACAAGATTTTCAGTTTGTGCATGATACCTACCCACCACCCAGTCATTATAACAAACCAATTTTAAACATCTAATTATACATTTCTGCCTTGACTCTGTTTCCAACTACATATATAGAGGAACAAGAAGAAAGAAACAACTCTTTTTATTCTTCTACATGTTTGAAAGTGCAGTCTCCATTACCAAACTAGCAGAAGATAATGTGAGGGGTTATTCAGAAACTGAAACTACATTTGTTGTTAGCTATTAACATCACTAGCAATTCTGCTTCCGAAATCAAAATGATCAAATCAGTAGGCTAATTAGACTTTGCCCAGACAAAACCAACACCCCGGAGCCAAAACTTTCAATTTAGGAAAATGGAAAATTTCAAGCTAGAGATAACTCCCCTGCCCCTTACATACCCAAGTCTAACAACTCAATTTCATCTTGTTGGATGGTGTCGGGCTTGGACTTCTTTGATTGAATATAGGAGTTCAGTTTTTCAACTGCAACCACAAGATCCTACACAGAAACATAAATGAGTATATAATACAATAAGTTCTAAGCAGCTTGTGAAAACAAGAATTTCTTACCTCCCATGATGCCAAACCTTTCATGTGTTTGGGGAGACTTTCATAATCCTCTCTTGACACACTCAGATGGCACTGAGACACATTGTATTGCTTAAAATCATCAGATGAGTCCCCTGGGTTCATCATAAACAATTGTATGAGTTTCCATAAGATTGAAGCTTCAAAATTCAAGAACATGCAACACACAGCCCACACCTATATGGAACTCCGGCTCATCCATCTCGAATTCAAGCCCAGCTTCACCATTTGTGCCTTTTCAGATGAATAAATGAACTAAAATAATCAATTTTCTTCTAATAGGTAACACTGTAAATATGCTGAAAATTAGAGTCAGCTTACCTTGAGATGCAATGCTTGCAAGAGAGACATCAGATATTCCAAAGTTTTTCAAACTCAACGAATCGTCAAACCTACGCTACGTGTTAAGTAAAACAACCAAAACACATGACATTTACATACATCCACACAAAGCAACATAGTATACAGCACAAAATTTCCGCATCATATGCAAAATCCAGAAAAACAACAGTTGCACTAAACATAAATGCAGAAATTATTCATGCAATCTCAATAAAGGTAGAATCCAAAACTCAGAAGGATACAAGGCATCCTGTTCTGCGTAAGCCTCATTATTTGACTCTAAACTTTGGCTTCCGGGAGAGAAAGCACCCAATGCATTGCTGTCTAAATCATCTTCTTCATCAAAATTAACTAAAGATTCAAAGTAATAGTCACGAAATTCAGTAAATTAGATCTAGAACAAGGCAAGGCTGAGGAAAGTAAACCGAAGGAGGCGAAACTAACGTGGGGGAATGTAATTGAAAGCAGTGCGTAGATGATCCTCAATCGCATAAATATCACTTTGATTCTTCTTCAATACCTCAGTGCAGTGCCCCAAGAGCTCCTCAAACGACACCGTGGCAAAGGCCATGGATTCCAGCATGTTCAAATCGCCGCCAGCCGCAGATATCCTGCGATTAACACTTTGCACGAACGTCGTCGATGCGGAATCTAAGAATGCAATTGCAATTTTCAAGTGGAATGCGTTAAAAAGGGACGAACACAGGGAACCGACACAAAAGAAAATAAAATCTGCTCCACTACATACATACCCAAGGGGATGGGGCGGCGTTCCACAGACTGTCTGAGAGCGGAACAATTGGTTTCGAGGTGGTTGCAGAACTTCGCCACCGCCGAGCACAATTTCCCGATCGAATCCTCCATCGGCAAGCGCAAGTCCTCCCCTCGCCGCTCCAAAAATGGCTGCCTTTTGAATTCAAATGTATTTCAAAAATTAATTATTAATGGAAAAAGATTTATTGTTGGTTCTTTCTATTCTCTTCGTTAGATTAGCTTCTTCAAATTAAAATTAATTATACCGCCACATGAATTTTGCTATCTTGCCGTGAATTGATTAAAATTTAGGAGTATCTTCAACGTTTTTAATTGGTTGGATCAATTCTACCGATAATTCCACAAAGTTTGATTGAGGGTATTTTGGTAATTCAAAAAATTAATTAAAATATTTAATTAGAAAGATTAATTAGAAAAAATTATTATAATTACTTCAAATAATTTCGAAATTAAGTTTTTTTTTTAATGAAACAAAAACGTTTGCAAATAATTACTTTTAAAATCATATAAATTCAAATTATAAAAATTTATATATTATCACAAAATAATGATAACTTTATAATAGTATGATATTTTCCATGAAATATTTTTTTTATAGTATAATTTAATTAAACGATGTCCAAGTGAATACATGTCAACTTATGGATTATAATATGACATTTATTTAAATAAATTAAAAATCAAATATATATATATATATATTAACCCTTTAACTTTTCTCATCCCATTTTATTTATCAAGTTCTAAATTCACTGCGCACAGATACTCCTCTCCTGTCGCACTGCTTCCGCTGACCTCTTCAGCCATGTCCGCTGCCACCGCCGATCTCTCCAGCCATGCCCGCCGCTGTCAAATAACTGCCGCCGCCATCGATTCCTTCTTTATCTGCACATCTATACTTGACGGAAGTCAACGCTAAATAGTTCACATTTGACGAATCTTTCAATGATGGATTCAACTAAGCGAGATCCCAAAGCTTCTATTAAACCCAAAACGAAGATAACGAAGCACATTTAAGTATCATATGTGCCAAAAAAGATAGCAGATTTAAACAACGAAAACTCTTTCGCCAAGCGGATAGATTTGTTGGTTGTGTAATGTTTTTATGGTGATCATGCGTATATGTGCATTCTTGATCAGTATCTTTTAGAAAAAAATATCAACACAGTTATTCCTAAAAATCTTTTTGTTGGCCTCCGGACACGTACGATGTATATTCATGACACATATGTTATTTAACTCATAATAGAGTGATAATACTAAACCTGCACACTTTTATTTCATGTTATAGTTTATATTTATGATTATATTGCATTGTTATGATATATTTATCAGATTTAAATGATGGACTATGTCATATATATTTTTCACCATTATGTTTATAAATATGATATATAACTTCAGTAGACAAGATATATACATCAGATATAAATGATGTAAATTGTATATATATTGCACGTATAGTTATGATATATTTCATTTTATGATTTCTAGGTATGATTTATATATTGCATAGTCATGATGTCAGGTTTAAATAATGGATTATGTTATATATATTTTTCACAATTATATTTATATGTATAACTAAGTGACAACATCCTCTCAACATGTTCGTTTATTATTGGGTTAAACTTTACTATTATTTTTGCACCTTTTTTTTTATTGCGGCAGTAATGAATGTAGTAATGTATATTTGATGATCACTTTTTGTCTTTTTGCATTTGTTTTTGCACGGCAAATCTTTGTTTATGCGCATATTTACAATATGACTTGTACGCATAATTGGAGCTTGAAAAATATGCATTTGTCCAATAGTCGTTACCTGAAGAGTCAAATGATATATATTGTTATAAAATATGCTATTTATTTTAATGTAATATTGTTTACGGAATTTAGTATTACGATGTTGCTTCTGCGCGAATATTGAGTAATTAAATTACTTGCTTTGCTTTCCTTTTTTACTTTATATGTTTTGAAAAAAATAATATATATGATTTAATTTGAAAACTGTTTAAACTCTTCGTACTTGTAGGAGGTTGATCCTAAGTTTAAAGGCAAATTATTTTAATTCAACACTTCAAAATTTGGATAAAGTATACTCTTTATGTTTCAAATATAATTTCACATAGCAATCGATTATATATTAGAAAAATAAAAGTTTTAAGTAAGTACTTATATAAATTCTATAAAAATATAATAAAATTTAAAATCGTCTCAAGAAAATAATGTAAACAATTTTTTTTAATTTCAGACTACATATCATTCGCACAAATATTAATTCGACAATTAATGTATCTAATTGAACTAATGGTTGTGTTGAGAACAGGGCAGAAACATGACCTAGAACATGGTTGTGCAGAAACATGGCTGTATTCCGAATACGGGTAGGAACACGGGCAGGAACACGACCGTGTTCAGAAGTGAAGGTAACCAAAGCTGCTTGGGACGCCAGTCACCTTTTGAGTCATCCGTGTTCAGTCCAGTCAACCATCTTGGGACTAAAATTAATTAATTTTTCTTTTGAGTGAGACCATTAATATTTTTTTTGAATGAGACATAATTATAATATAGAATGAGACCAAAAATAATTTTCCTTTTAAACAAGGGAAACTTGGACTAAAATCCCTGTCAGTGAAATCCAGTTGTAATTCAATCCCTATTGAAAATTAATTAGACTGCAGAACCTACTTTAGGGATTAGATTTATTATAGCTCCCTAATTTGTATTTTTCTCTCAATCACCATTATATACGCAACAGATACTCGAAATAGATTAATCAATACTTCTAATGTTGTAATATATACCTACATTACTTCCCGCTCTACCCCCATTATAACTTTATATACTTCTAGTTAAATATCGCGTGCCTTTTTTTGCGAATTAAAAAATAGTAAAAAAAGACAATTACCCACGATTTAACAGAGGTTGAGGCAGGAAAAACCCCAATGACTCCCCTCACCCCGATTTTAAACCCTATATCTTCCATCATCAAGCGAATCGGCGTTCTGCAACCTCTGGCGATCAAGTAGCGAGTGATCGGTGCAAAAATGGTGAAGAAAACAGTTAACCCACTTTTATCCCCCAGGATAAGCTCGAAAAAGTAAGACCTTTTTTGATTTTTTGATTTTTTTAATATTAGTATTTTATATCGTAGTTTGTTCGATTGTTTGACGTATAAGCCTAGGTCTAGGGTTTGTATTCCTCGATCAGTTCCGTGTTGAGGAGTCCTGGATGATCGGTGTAGTTGTGTTTGTTAACTAGGTTTGAAATCGTTCGTATATTTGCCAACATAGACCGAGTTAGGTGTTTTATTTTGGCACAAATTTTGGGTAATTTTATTTGTTTAATCTGTGATTTTAGTTAATTTTACAAATATACATTTTGTTTAGTTATCTGGAGTTGAATATTTTAATTTTTTTTTGTTTGATTGTTCGATAATTAGTCATGTATGTGGGTTGGTAAATACAATATTGTTAGGTACCCCGAGTTGCATTTTTTAGGTCTAGTTTGCTAAGTAATATACTTTTAGGGAACTACTGTGTACTCGGAATGTGTTGTTACGTAGTCTTGATAGATTCTGATAAACTTTTAAATAAATTCGATGTTTGGATAATCTGGATTGATGGTATTTATTTACAGATCGGGTAAGGAATACAAATCGATTATCAATCCGTTTGCAATGCCGATTGGTCTGTATGTTCTCTAAGTATTACATCTATGCAAATTTGGCAGTATCGGCGGCAAGTTTGATGATGTGAAGAGATGTCTCGGTAAAATTACGGCCAAAATACTGAAAGGTGCACCTCTGAAACGTAAATGCCAATGAGCATCACACAGTAAGTGAAGGTTGTAATGAATTTGAATGGATTTGGGATTGATTTGGGTTTTGTTATTTGTGGTTGATTTGGATAGTGTGTTATTTCGATTGAATTGTTGGTCGAATTGGTTAGACTTGCCTTATGTTCGATAAGATTGTATTAAGATTGATTGAAGAATTGAATCATGGGTTAAATTTGGTGAAGCTTAACGTTTGGAGTAATATTATAAATTGTGTCGTGAATGATTATATGATTAATTCTTCATATGGTTAAAATTACAATAATGCACATAGTGTACCTCCACAACGGATCGATGTACCCGTCTAACTAATTCGAAATACCTTCAAACTGCATATATATATATATGTTCATATACATGTTATTAATTAGTTAGGAAGGTTATCTTTGTACGAATACAACAGCGAGCCAGAAAAATTATGCATATTGGTCTTAAATTAGAATTAACTAATTCATTACAAGACCTTGCAATTCTTGAAGTAATCCCTGCAATGAACAAAAGTGGATATACGGATACCTGACTATATTAGTGGTGCACATAAGAAAGAAAAACATATAAATTTACTGCGAAGGTTTATGCCCTCATCACATTGATATGTATTTCCTGTCAAACACGACATGCCTCGATTATTTAATGATATAACTATATTAAACTAGTAAATACCCCAAGTTAAGTTACTTATGCCCGGGGGGTCTAATACTTCATATCTTGAACATTAAGTAAAGTATAACATTATCTTTAGCAATATTCATACATGAAATGTATTCATCTTTAACATAGTCAATTATACCACTATAGAAGATTAAAAAGTTGTTTAGAAAAATTAAATAGATGATCTATATAGGTGAATAATAGACAATTGAGTTACTTAGTTGTATTGTTGGTAAGAGTAGTACTTAGTTATGATGCATATGCAATAGTTGTACATATTAATGGAGAGTATTAATCTACTAATACTTTATCCAATTGCATTCACAATAATATATTTCAAACACTATAGGAACAACATAATATTATAACATATCATTTTTTCACACAAGTTCGCATCAACGGGTACCTCAGTCGTTTACCAATATACCCCATAACTAGTATGTCATATGCTCTTGTAACTAATATCTATGCTTGGAAACCTGTGCTTGGGAAATATGTCATTCTCAGTTCAAAATATTCAATTTTCTATGTAAATAGGAATAAATTTATCGTTATAATATTTTTGTGAATTCCGTAATTGTATGTAAAGGTAAACAACACATATTTATTATGGATAGCTAAACAAGTCATAAATAAGTTAGTTAAAATTATGTTTTTTTTGTTACACATACATGTTTTGTGGTCTTACCATTGAAAAGTATGGCATGAGTTGTCAAATATAAACATACAGTACCTAAATTTTTCCAACGAGGCTAGAAAAAGAAGTATTCTCACCGAGTTTGTGCCCCCCGTCAGGGGATCAACTGAAATCAACCGCATTCACGGATACCTGCTACTATAAGGAAAATACCTAAGCAATCATCATTCATACCTTGAATGTCGGTGTTTGTACCTGGAGCACATACTTACATACCTGCATCAAATACCGACATACCTTGTCACAGATCTTATGTACCTATAATACTGGTATTATATGCTTCAATAATGAGTATATATAGTCTGATACATGTGCTTGAAAACTGATATTTTTTGTTCAAAATATTCACTTGTTGTCGGTAACCAATGATGAATTCATCGTGATAATATCCCCGCGACACCTTGAATTGTATAAAAAGATAAATAACATATATTTACTATAAATGACTAAGAAATAACTTAATTCTATTGTGTGGTATATGTACAATTATAGTCCAATCTCCACTTGTAGATGAATAAACAAGTCATAAATTACTAAGTTAAATTATATTGGTTGTTAGAGTAAATAATTGCTGCCACGAATTGAAAATATTTACACCTATTACATAGTAATCCACATTGTAACACACACAACAACATTCAAGTGAAAGTGCGAGTTGTAATCTACTACTAAGACTTCAAGTGTTTTTTGTGTAATAGGACAAACACATTTTTCTAAAATATTTTGACCCATAACATAATAATCAAAATTGTCGCACACTCATAAACTCAAAAATCAATCAGTTAGAATCATTTTACACTCATAAACTCAAAAATCAATCAGTTAGAATCATTTTTAAAATAGTAACTCTGTTGAACAGGAAAGTACTCCAGCATAGCTCCGATGTACCTCTGTTACATTTTCAGAACCCTCTGTTGTCAACAAGTCATGTATAAAAGACCATCATCACATACCCGTAATTTCCGTTCATCTACCATAATACATAAAATTTACAAAAAGAGCTTCAATGTAAAAATATTATTATTATTGTATATTTATATACAATATTACATTATGTTTAGCACGACAAAAGTAATTACAAGAAAAGGATTGATGGACATTCTATCAAAATAAAAAAATTACACTTTTAAAAATCTACGACAATTGTGCTTGGCTTTAACCAACTATCACGGACCAAATTGAATACTTCTGCAGCTGCAATTAAGATATCAACTTCATGATTTGTTCTGAGTTTTCGGTAAATGGATGAAGAATTGTCACTTTAGCACGATGCTTCAAAGAAGTGCTCTCACCGAGTATGTGAATTGGTTCCTCTGCGTGAGAACGACTGAAATCAACAACATTCAAGGAAACCTGATAATACACAAACAAAATAGGACTGTCAAATACCCGTTATTCGTATTTATGTACCACAGTACATCTAAATTACAATCGTGGTTCTATGTAAGTTGGGTCATTTTGTTTGTATATTTACCTATAATATTACATTATATCAACAAAAATAAAAATTACACCTTCAAAAGGACTACCGTATCCGGCATTTACAATATCTTTTGTTCTGCTTTAGACAACCACAATAACCTTATTTCTGTTACTGCTTCTAAAGCTATTACATGAAGTCTTACCTTTATATGAACAAGTGATTAGCAGTTTCAGACTGTTTTTTCCCATTTTCGTTGAAGCTAATCAAGTCTCTACAAAAATTAACAATTGTGCCTCACCATCTACAATTATATTACAAAACCAACAAATGTAAGTAGAAAAGACACTAAATCAAATGCTTCTACATATTTTTAGTATTTAAAGTCAAGTTTTCCTTTTTCTATAGATATCATATGTTGATAGATAATGACTCAATCTGCTGATTAATTCATCACACAAATCTAAAGTGCTGACAATTGAATGGTAGTTTGTTTTAAATTTTGACAAAATCAAAATGAAATGCATTGATAAAAACATTCATATCTAAAAATTTGCTTAGTTCTATTTTTAAATACAAGCGGTTTGAGCAAGAGAAATGTTTGATAATTGTAATCCATATTCTTAATAAATACCAAACCAAATCAGAAATGCTAGCTGCAATAAACTAATGTGCTAAATAATAAAATTAGTACATTGATTAGAATAATATAGAAACAAATTGATAAAAACTTTCAATAAAACGGACATATTCAACATATGGATGAATTACATTACTAGAAGATGACTCTCATGATCTTAGTTAACATATGAAAAGAGCTATTATCCACACAATTTTCAATATCTAATTGTTTGAAAAACCAAATCTTTGCAAATGAAGTTTGAATATATTTACATATTGATATGTTTGAAAATTTGTTAATTGTGAATAAACATTCTCGAGCAGAGTATTTTAATTTTTCACAAAAATGTTACCCCTAAACTAAAATATAAATATAAATTTATTTCTTTAAAATTATTTTATTAATTCTAAAAACTATATATTTGTGATATACTTTTAGTAACAACATATATACCAGTTTAATACTCATGCATATACTCCCACTTAAATTATATACGCTCAGGCATGTTGTCAATGTAGTCATGCAAGATTGTTGTAATCGATTATGATTTTTTGACATAACCATCATTCGTGTGCTATGAACGGCTTGGAATTGGGAATCACAACTAATACTTTGACAATAATTCATCAAATTCTTTGACATTAGCAAAAACTCCTTTTTGGAACATTTTATCAAACATATTATGTGCGTCATTCAAACTTCCACCTTACTAATATTCCTATAATGTATTCCCAATGAGAGATATAAGAAAAAAATAAAAATGAATGATGAATCTAAATTGAGAGACACGACACTACTGAATCCAAAAATAATAGATAAATTCTTATGCTTAAAGGCATAATATTTCGTTTCGGAAACAAAAAATATTATATACTCACCTGAATGTTAGAATGTGAGGAAGAGAGATGCAAGGATATTCGTTAGGGTTCTAATGGGAATATAGGAAACACATTTGTCCAACTGGAGTGAAGAAGAGGACGATGAAACTAACTGCGAAGAAATAAAAAAATACTATACAAAAAATCAAAAACCTGCCCAAACAAATGGACCTGAAGCAAAAAGATGGATTAAGCATTGGGGAATTAAATATAAACACACTGGTAAAGTAGAGAGTGCAGATAAGCATATTTAAAATAGGGGCTGAATTCCAACCAAAAGGGCTAGAGGATTTTATCTTAATTCTCCCTTTAAACAAAACGAATAGAATCAAGATGGCCACGATCACCGGACAAGGACGGAGTTATTTTAAATATATTTAAAAATTATAAAGCAAATAAACCCCTAGTGTCATAGCCGTCAGCTCCATCGTCGGAAATCCAGCTCTCCGCCGTCGTTTTCCATCCAGCTCTCTGTCGTCGTCTTTCTGCCTATTTTGACGTCTCCTTCCTCGGCTCCGGCACCTCCGTCTTCGCCTTCGTATGCCTTCATCTCCGCCGGCTTTTCTTTTCTTTTTTCTTTTTTTTTTAGCCGGGAGTTTGAATGAGGGGTGGAGATGATATGGCGATGGAGATCAAAGATTTCAGTTCCCCCTTCCAATTTGCTCCTTTCTGGTGGCCTACGCATTGTTGCTTCACCAATTAAATCCACCGGAAATGCCACCGCTCAGCACTCGTTCTCCTTGAAATCTTTAACAAACAATCACCATCGGAATTGTACCCAGACCACTCCCAATACTAAAATTCTGACTCCCCAACTCGTGTTAAGCACTTTACGCGACTCCCCATCAGATTTGTTCGCTCTGCGCTTTTTCCTCTGGTGCGCTGGCCAGCCGCACTACTTCCACGATAAGCCTGCATTCCGTCACATGGTGAGTGTGCTCTCGAACTTAACTCACAGGTATGGAACTGTTAGAGGGATTGTTAACGAATTGGAGAGTGTGGGTTGTGTCAGGAAGGCGCAAACCTTGCTGCTACTAATGAGAATTTATTGGTGCGGAGGTATGTATGATATGGTGTTGGAATCTTTTGAGGAGATGTATAATTATGGATATGTTCCGAATACGTACGCCCGGAATATTGTCATGGATGTTGGTTTTAAGATTAAGAATGTGGATGCTGCCTTGAGGGTTTTGGAGGAGACCAAAGATCCTAATTTCTTGAGTTTCAGCATTGCCATTTATAATTTATGTAGACTCTATGATGCTGATAATGCTAAAACTGTGCTTAGGTGTATGTTGAGGAGGGGTTATTATATGAATCCTGAGACATATGCTGTGGTGTTGAATTGTTTCTGCAAATTAGGCAGGTTGGATGAGGCAATCGAGTTGCTTGGCATGATGATAGTTTTGGGTGTACCGATTTCTGTGGCTGCGTGGAGCATATTGATAAATGGCTTCTGCAAGTTGGGCAAGATTGAGCTTGCAGCTTGTTTGCTAGATAAAATGGTGAAGGTTGGTTGTTCCCCGAATATTGTGACATGCACCTCGCTGATTAAAGGACTTCTGGAGCATAATATGCTGGAGAAGGCGTATGAAATCCTTGGCATTCTTGAATTGAAAGGGTGTTTTCCTGATCTGGTTCTTTGCAATGTGTTGATTAATTGTTTCTCTAAGATGGGGCAGTATACGGATGCGCTTGAAGTATTCTCTTGTTTGGGAGAACTAAGGTTAACACCTGATGTTTATACACTTTCATCTATTGTTTCTACAATTTGTTTGTCTAGACAATATGAACTTTTACCTTTACTGATAAGTGGACATTCGATACAACCTGACTTGGTAGTGTGCAACTGCCTTTTAAGTTATTTTTGCAAAGCTGGTTATCCAACTGGTGCTGTTGAGTTTTACAATGACATGTTGGTCAGAGGGTTTCTGCCTGATAAATATACTTTTGCCGGCGTTTTGAGTGCACTATGCCGGTTAGGAAAGACGCAAGCAGCTGTTGAGATGTATCACAGAATTCTCTGTAGCTGTGGAGATATTGTTGATGCACAAATACATACTATAATCATTGATGGACTAATAAAATCAGGCCGATATCATGAAGCAATGAGCATATTCCGAGATGAAAAGTTTCCACTTGATGTTCTGTCATACACTGTGGCCATTGATGGACTTATCAAGGCTGGCCGGATGGAAAGGGCTTGTGCTTTGTTCGACCAGATGAAGAAGGCGAATGTAGTGCCAAATAAGCAAGTCTGTAATCTTATGCTTTCTGGTTTCTGCAAGCGTGGGGACATTAACATGATTAAACATGTACTACAAGAAATTGTTGCCAGGAATATTGAAATAGATTGTCACACATATAATATTCTTATGTCTTGTTCTTCTGATCCTCATTTAGTATATAGTCTCATTTTGGAGTTGAGAAGCTTAGGGTTCTTACCTAAAGATGATCAATGGTTGAGATTGGCCAATGGGCATGACAATTTTGCACATGCTAATTTCGTTTCATCCAGTATTTCGCGGGAAACATTAGATATGAGTGCATCCAGCTCTGACGAACTCTTGGATTCTATGGCTTTGGTTGGTTGAGCAAAATATGCAACAAAGTTTGGTTCATTGTTTCCTTACGGATTTTAGAGCAACTGTTACTCTACCAAATGAAGGCTGATATCACTGTCTGAATTCTGCATGAATGTATTGGTCTCGGGAATGAGAGGTGTGAACTCTAGACAATATTTTCTAGTTCTGTTGGAAATTGTTTAGGAATATGATATTTTCCATTTAACTACAGAGCAAAGAATTATGATGTTGTGGAAAGAGTGGCCCAGCATCTAGGCTTGGATGATCCATAAAAAATTAGGCTTACATCTCACAGTTGTTATTTAATCCCATCAAATATGGAGCAGTTGATCAATCGCCCAACATGCTTGTCCACTACAGTCAGGTAAATCATGCTCTAATTGCATTTTTGTGGCTTTCTTGTGTTTTCAGATTGTTTATGGTGGTTTAAAGCTGACAACTTTTGCTGCTTTTTGTGAGAGATTTCTGATATACTCTGTATTATGAAAAACTGGACCTTCCTCTACCTGAATTGCAGTGTCTTAAAACATTGAAACTTACCTTCCTTTGTGAGAAGGATGTGCAGATGTTGCTATAATATTTACTGTTCATCATCAATATGTGTAATTAAGTGATTTAGGTCTGTTGTTCTTTGCAGGCTGTGATTCTCAATATCAGATTGCCAAAACAAAACACTGTTGGAGACCTGCTTAATGACATTAAAATGCAGGTTTGTTAACCACTTCAGACTGCAGTCTTCCTTTTATCTGTATTGCTTGCTAGGAAATATGTATATACGAACGTGCATGTTTCATTAATAGTTCTGTTGATCTGAAAACATGTGAATATCATAACCAAAATTAGCAAGCAAAATAGAAGAAAAGGGTCAAACCACGTTATGACTGAGCTACAGGCAATGCTTATTCAATTAATATTAATGATTAATTTTTTAGAAACATTTGAATTCAAAAGGCAGCCATTTGTGGAGCGGAGAGGAAGGGAGGCATTGTGCTTGCCGATGGAGGATTCGATTGGTAAATTGTGCTTCGGGTGGCAAAGTTCTGCAACCACCTCGAAACCAACTGCTCCGCTCTCAGACAGTCTGTGGAACGTCGTCTCATCACCTAGGATATGTATGATGGTGAGTTTAATGGAGCAGATTTTCTGTTGTCTCAGATCCCTTTGTTCGCGCCTTTTTAACGCATTCCACATAAAATTGCATTCTTAGATTATTTATGGTCATGCAAAGTGTTCATCGCAGGATATCTGCAGCTGGCGGCAATTTGAACATGCTTGAATCCATGGCCATTGCCACGCTGTCATTTGAGGAGCTATTGGGGCACTACAATGAGGTGTTGAAGAAGAATCAAAGTGCTATTTGTGCGTTTGAGGATAATCTATGTATTGCTTTCAATTACATTCCCCACGTTAGTTTCGCCTGCTTTGGTTTACCTTCCTTGGTGTTGTTATAGGTCTAATTTACTGAATTTCATGACTAGTACTTTGAATTTTTAGTTAATTTCGATGAAGAAGATGATTTAGACATCAATGCATTGGGTGCTTTCTCGCCTGGAAGCAAAAATTTAGAGTCAAAGAATGAGGCTTACGCAGAACAGGATGCCTTGTATCCTTCCGATTTTTGCATTCTACTTTTATTGAGATTGTATGAATAATTGCTGCATTTCTGTTTAGTGCAACTGTTGTTTTTCGGGATTTTGCATATGATGCAGAAATTTTGTGTTGTATACTATGTTGCTTTGTGTGGATGTATGTACATGTCATGTGTTTTGGTTGTGTTACTTGACATGTAGCGTAGGTTTGACGATTCGTTGAGTTTGAAAAACTTTGGAATACCTGATGTCTCTCTTGCAAGCATTGCATCTCAAGGTAAGCTGACTCTAATTTCCAGTATTTTTACCGTGTTTCTATTAGAAGAATTTGATTATTTTAATTCATTTATTCATCTGAAAAGCACAAATGGTGAAGCTGGTCTTGAATTCGAGATGGATGAGCCGGAGTTTCATATAGGTGTGGGCCGCGTGTTGCATGTTCTTGAATTTGAAGCTTTAATCTTATGGAAACTCATACAATTGTTTATGATGAATCCAGGGGACTCATCTGATGAATTTAAGCAATATAATGTGTCTCAGTGCCATCTGAGTGTATCAAGAGAGGATTATGAAAGTCTCACCAAACACATGAAACGTTTGGCACCATGGGAGGTAAGAAATTCTTGTTTTCACAAGCTGCTTAGAACTTATTGTATTATATACTCATTTATGTTTCTGTGTAGGATCTTGTGGTTGCAGTTGAAAAACTCAACTCCTATATTCAATCAAAGAAGTCCAAGCCCGACACCATCCAACAAGATGAAATTGAGTTGTTAAACTTGGGTATGTAAGGGGCCAGGGAGTAATTTCTAGCTTGAAATTTTCCATTTTCCTAAATTAAAAGTTTTGGACTCTGGGGTGTTGGTTTTGTCTGGGGAAAGTCTAATTGGCCTACTGATTTGATCCTTTTGATTTCGGAAGCAGAATTGCTTGTGATGTTAATAGCTAACAACAAATGTAGTTTCAGTTTCTGAATAACCCCTCACATCATCTTCTGCTAGTTTTGTAATGAAAACTGCACTTTCAAACATGTAGAAGAAGAAAACGAGTTGTTTCTTTCTTCTTGTTCCTCTATATATGTACTTAGTTGGAAACTGAGGCAAGGCAGAAATGTATTATTAGATGTTTATAATTGGTTTGTTATAATGACTGGGTGGGTAGGTATCATGCACAAACAGAAAATCTTGTTCGAGGAACATTCTGATTTGTTCAAATTTAATTAATTGTTGTCTGTTCTTATGCAATGCAGGTTACAAAGCAAGATCTTACATGATGCTGTTGCTCATAAAAATGAACAGGCTCTGTGTGGAGACAAATGAAGGTATCATTTCTTACAAAGTTTTACAGACACACGCACAGATGCTGTATGTAAGTAAGTAAATGTGATCCCTTCTTGATTGTTCGGTCCTCTTCTTCTCTGGTTCACTTCCTCGAAAAAGAAAATAGATGGATCGGCGAGTAAAGGAGGCAACACGATCCATATTATTAGATCAACGATTTGACTGCAAATTCTTAGTTTATCAGTTGAATGACATGTATTTCCATCGACCACATTGGTTTGCTTTATTGCGGTCTTATCTCTGTGACATTTAGATTCCCTTACCCCTTTCTACTTCTCACCATGGGACTCAATTTTAAAATCATGCCTCATTTTTCCAAGTAAGAAACTTGATAGAGGGCAAAATTTTTATCAGCTCTCCCTTACAATGCTGAAAGTTTCTGAACTGCATATGTTAAGTCAAGATGATAATGGGTATGTAGATCCCAATTAAATAGAATATTATTACAGTTTGTTGATATTGTATGTCAAGTCCAATTCCTATGTTCCTTTCTATCATCTAGCTAGCTCCTGGACTACTTTCAAGAATGGTGGATGGTTGTTTAGATGCTAATAGATAAGTTGAACAATGAGTATATTCAACTATTATTCCCGGAAGGGCCAACTGGACCAGTGTTGCTGCAACAACTTCCCGACCTTTTTAGCTGAGACACTTGCTTCTGCCAAAGTGCCTACAGCCTTGAAGATCAAGTCACAGTCAAAGATGGCCGCAAAGAAACCTGTCAAAATAGGTGTCGAACATCTTGCCCTTCCACCTAAAATGGCTATTACACATCAGGCTGTGTATCTTCGTACTTGTAAGTATTTCGAATTTTTCCATGCTTTCAATGGGTTATGAGTTCTTGTCCATATTGGTTCGTCTTTTCTATTTTTTTAGTGTCGGATGATGAGGACGAATGCTTTTGATCTGGAGAAAATCGTCGAGAATGTTCAATGCGACGTACCTATGGTATATGCTTCACTTTTCATTATGACTTGTGAGGGAGGTGTTTCAAATTTATATTTGGGAGTTTGCACAGGCCTCTGTAGTTGGTGGCTCCCTATCTGTTGCATCTTCCCTTTGGGAAATTTGATATGTTTATCAAAACAGAGGCCAATTGGGTTTAATCGCTTATCTTGTGGGCGGTCAGCTGGTTTCATAATCGTACATGCATACTTTTTACTACTAATTTGGTCAATTCACTTTCATCGATTACTGTCGGGCAACTGCTCTTCAACTGCCTCTCGATAAAATGGATTGTGCTTGTCTAATAAATCAATTTTAATTAAATTAAATTATATCAAAATGAATGATTGAGATTTAATTCAGCAATTCTGAGATGCAAAATTCAACGTATAATCTAACTTGAAAAAAAATTCTTAATTTTTAATACAAATTCTTATTTACTCTCTGTATATATAAATATATTTTTTCTTTACTTTCTATTTTAATAATTTTTTTCTTATTACTCCTTATCCATCTAGAAATACTAAAATACTATTATTTACTTCATTTCATTTTTCATCTAAATTTTATAATATTATACGTGAATTCTAATTTTACTTTTGTATTTCTTACCACGAACAAAATAGAAGCAATGAATGGTGATATCAACCACCGGAAAATGCAACAAGAGATAGAAACATCTAGTACGATCAATATGTAATGAAAGTTTCCTTCTATCTATAATACTCCCTCCGTTCCGGTGCAAGGTTGCCGTTAATTTTTTGCACGTAGATTTTTGAATATTAGTATTATAATAGATTATAGTGAAAAAGATCAAAATGTCTCTATTAGTCGTGTAATATAAAAGTAATGATATTTGTGTAATATAATATAAGTTGGAAGAATATTTATTATGTTAGGTAGGTAGTATAATTACTAAATTAGGAAATGGTAACCTTGTTTTGGGATAGACGAAAATGAAGAATGACAACCTTTCAATGAGACAGAGATAGTATGTAATATTTGAACGATAGAAAAATGTTTAGATTTAAAAAATTTTGTAAAATTGTCCATAACTCTCTTGTGGTTTCTAAACTCAGCGTAAATCTCCCATCTACTTTAAAAATTGCATGACGCTGCCTTATACTTTAAAAAATATTGCATGAAACCATTATGTGGTTTCAAAACTTACCATAAATACCCACTTTACTTTAAAAAATTGCATGACATTCCCTTATACTTTTAAAAATATTGCATGAAACCCCCCTGCCATGCAAAATATATAGATATGAAATTATCTTTTTATCACATGAGGAAAGTTTCATGGTGGTGGGGTTTCATGCAACATTTCTTAAAGTATAAGGGGGTACCATGCAATTTTTAAAGTATATGGAGATTTTACGCTGAATTTCGAAACCACAGGAGAGTTATAAGCAATTTTACCAAAAAATTTCATAGTTTTTGATTTCTCAACTAAATTCTTAGATTATTATTTATTTATGCAGTAAATAACCAAATTTTATTACAATATAACAATTGTATTCTTAATCTATTGACAATTATTGTATTTTGTAATTTGTTAATCTATTGGAAGAGGGAAAGAAATGTACATGATAAGTTTTTTTTGTTTGTAAACTCTTTGCTGATGACTTCAATGGAAATATTATTTTCTATTAAAATATATTCTTATTCAACAAGAAATATGTTCATATAGAACCAAATATAGTACAACCTTGTCCATGGAACACCAGAGACTTCATCCGCACGAGTAAATATTTCCTTTTCTGAAGAACTAAAAAAACTACTACTGCTGCTACTAGTACTACTACTTGTTGCTAGATAATTATGGTGTATTTTTGCATTTTATTGGTACAATATTTGTTTCATTTTATCTAAGTAAGATGGTGATGATAGATAAGGAGTTCCAGAAGCATACAAATGAGAATACAATGGTTGTGTTGTCTATATATAGTATTTGTATAGAAGATAGGATAGTTCATTATGGAAGGTGTTAAAAGAGTATTTGAATGCATAGCATAGTAGATTTATGGGAATACACAACATAATTACGGTTCTAGAAAATAGGTGGTTAGGTGGTCATAGAAACTTGTAGAGACTGTGAAATAGAGACCCTAAGTATTCTTAATCTACTATCTGTATAAATATAATTTGTCCACATTAATAAACATAATATATAAAACAATATCAGTTCACATGGTATCAGAGCAGATCCTAGGACAGAGAACTATCTGAAGGCGTGAAAGACTAAGGCCTATACTTATCTCACATCCGGCGAGATTCAGGCAAGCGTGTGAGTCACGTGTTCAGCAACTGTTTCACGCACCGGTGTGTGCGGCGGTGCTCGGTGCTCTTGCGGGTGGTGCTTGGTGCCCCGGAAGGTGCGGCTGGGAGTAGATTTTACTCCGATGGGTGAAATTTTTTTTGTTCCAAGCTGTTGCTTACAAATTTGGTGGGGAACCTAGATTTGTTCACTAGCACCAATTACAGACTGTTAATTTTCATATTGATGTTGTAGCTTCCAGGTTGTTATGATATTAATCAATAATGAACGAGAACAAGTCTATTTTTGTCTCTAAAATTTCTCTAGTTACGTCCAAAATTACTGATTATAAAATTAACGGATCGAATTATTTGGAGTGGAGCAAAACAATGAAGTTATACTTACCAAGTATTGAGAAGGATGATCATTTGGAGGAAGAGGACCCACCTACCGGTGAAAAGGAGAGGAAGGCATGGCTTCGGGATGATGCAAGGTTATTCCTGCAGATCATAAATTCGATCGATGTGGCGGTCTATGGGTTGGTGAGCCACTGCAATACTGTCAAGGACTTGATTCAATATTTGAAGTTCTTATACTAGGGTAAAGGAATGTTACCCGAACATACGATGTGTGCAAGACATTCTATCGGGCTGAGATGACGGAAAAATCTCTTGTTAATTATTATATGGACTTAAAAAAGACATATGAAGATCTAAATGAACTCATGTCTTTTTGTGCCGATGTTAGAGAACAACAAAAGCAACGGGAACAAATGACCATTATGAGTTATTTGGCGGGTTTGCAAAGCAAGTATGAACCAGTGAAATCTCAAATACTGGGGAGCTTTGAAATGACTTCTCTACAAGATATATTCTCTAGACTTCTCCGAACCGACCCCTATCCAGTCTCTTCCAGTGGAGCCTTGGTGAGCAAGAAATAGTACAAGCCATCCAAAGGTGAAAATCGACAAGGAACATATAAGAGAAACCCAGACATCATATGTCACTACTGCAAGAAGTTAGGGCATGTTAAGAAATATTATAGAAAGTTGTAGCTTGCTATGCAGAAGGATCAGTTCGCCCATGTAGCCTCTTCGGAAGGTCAGAACTCTATTATCCATGTCTCAAGAGAACTAAACGCATTCATCTACTGCTATCCCGGCTATGACCACCGCAGGTAACTCCAGTACATGTCTTATCACATCCTCTGGCTCTTGGGTCATTGATTCAAGAGCCAAAAACCATATGACATGTAATCTTAACCTTTTCTCGACTTATCAATCACATTATTCTCAATCCCCAGTTACCCTTGGAGATGGATCCACTACCTAAGTTGTTGGGTTAGGAACAATAGATATTACACCAACTATTTCATTATCCACTGTCTTAGACCTATCTAACTTTTCTTTAATTTAATTTCTGTTAGTAAAACCACCCGTGCCCTAAACTGTAATGTGACATTCTTTCCTGATTATTGTGTTTTTTAGAATTTGGAGACGAAGAAGATGATTGACAAGGGATACAAGTCAAGCGGATTGTATACCATTGACACTTCCATCCATAAGCCCATCACCTGCATATGTACTGAAACCTCATTTGAAGCTCATTGTCGTTTAGGTTAGCCCCCCCTTCAGAAAATGAAAATAATGTGTCCCAATTTTTGAAATTTGCCTTTGTTCAATTGTGAATTATGTCAGTTTGCTAAACGTCATTGTGTCAGTTTGAGTCATAGGGAGGTTAATCGTGTCCAGGCTCCCTTTTGCCTGTGTTCATTAGGATGTTTGGGGTCCATAATCCTAATCTAAAAATTTATTATAAAAAATAAAAACAAAAACAATTTTTACTCTAATCTAAAATTTCAAATATGAACGGTTGCTGCACACATAATCATTCCCCCACAATTTCTTTGTTTTTTCTTTTTTTTTTTTTTACCATAATTCAAATATTGCTATGCGCCGTACATTACACAACATTTGCGCATATTCCCTTTCTGCAGCCTCCACAACGGCTGCCGACGTCTTGCAATATTCTTCACTAAGCATCTGCACATATATATTTTTTTTTCTTCTGTTTTCATCACCTCTTTTCTTTATTGCTACTGGTGGTGGAATTTAGAAAAATCACTTAGGTAAAAAAAAATTTAAATATATTTTTGTTTTTTTTTGTTGTTCTTATTTGGATGTGAATTTCGATATATTTTTTTAGTTGTATTTTATTTATTTTATATTTTTTATATGTTATTTTTTTATTTTTTTTTGTTTTTTTATATGTTATTTTATATATATGTATATTATATATGTTTTTAATTATTTTATTATTTTTTTATAATGTTATTTTATATATATTTTTTATTTTTATTTATTGTGTTATATTTTATTTAGATGGCCTAGGAATAAATTCTATAGTTTTTTAGAAAAATATAAGATATATGTTGGCAGGAATGAACCGTTTTTGTATACTCCAAGTTATTGAACAAATTTTGATATTTTTGTTTCTAATATATTTCATTAATTATTATTATTATTATTATTTTTAAATTTATTTTGAAGCAGAAAATGGTTTCGATGGATGAAACAAATATTTTTGGTCCTCCATTTGTGAATAATACACACAATTGCATATCGCTGGATTCAATTTCAAACCAACCGGTGGATGATAACAAAAATGAAGATGAAAGAAATTCAAATCAAACAAATGAAGGTGCCAATAAGAGAAAAAAGTAAAACAACTTCAATTGTAATGAATGATTTTGATGAAATTGAAGTTGCTAGAGGTTTAAAAAAAGCGATTTGCAAGTACGGTAAAAATGCATTTGCTACCGGGGGAAGAGGTGCGAGCACAAGCCATCTAAAAAGACATTTATAAAGGTGTTTGCAAAGGTCAAGACACATGACTTAAAAAAAGAAACAAGTTGTCATTCCTTTTAAGCCATCCAATATAACTAATTCGTTTATAAGTCCCGGGTTTAGATTTTCTAATAAGA